CTACCCATTGATGTCAATGGGGTGCTAACATCCCCTCCTATGACTATATTATTGTCCATCTCTCCCTTGATGTCCATCAAGATTTGCTTTATATATTTAGGTGCTCTTATGTAGGGTGCATAAATGTTTACAAGGGTTATATCCTCTTGTTGGATTGTTGCCTTTATCATTATGTAATGTCCTTCTTTATCTCTTATTATATCCTTTGTTTTAAAATTTATTTTGACTGATATAATTACTGCTACTCCAGCTTTTATTATTTCCATTTTCACAATCTGTCCTTTGTCATCCCTTTACTTTCAGTTGGTGTGTATTTCTGAAGTGTGTCTCTTGTAGACAACATATATATATGGATCTTGTTTTCTTATCCATTCAACTACCCATTGTCTTTTAATTGAAGCATTTAAATCATTTACATTTAAGATAATTATTGATTATTGATAGGTATGTATTTATTGCCATTTTATTATTTATAACTATGTTCTTTCTTTGTTTTTTCTTTTCTTAAAGAAGGCCCTTTAACATTTCTTATAATATAGGTTTGGTGGTAAACTTTTAGGTGTGTGTTTTTTTGTTTGTTTGTTTTTTATCTGGGAAGCTATTTATTTTCCCCTTCAGTTGAATGATAGCCTTGCTGGTTAGAGTAGTACTAATTGTTGGTCCTTGCTTTTTATCATTTTGTATATTTCATGCCAATTCCTTCTGGTCTGAAATGTTTCTATTGAGGAGTCATCTGGGAGCTCCCTTCTAGGTAACTATTTTTCTCTTGCTGTTTTTAGGATTCTCTCTTTGTCATTATTCTTTACTATTTTAATTATGATGTGTGTTTTGTGGGCCTCTTTGTGTTCATCTTGTTTGGGGCTCTGTGCTCTTCCTGGACCTGTGTGTCTTTTTCTTTCAGGAGGTTAGGGTAGTTTTCAGCCATTATTTCTTCAAATATGTTCTTGATTCTTTCCTTGTGCTCTTCATTTTATGGTACCCCTGTGATGCAGATGTTGTTACACTTCACATTGTTCCAGAAGTCCTTTAGACTATCCTCAGTTCTAAAAAAGATTTTTTTAAATTTATTTTTAGAAAGAGGGGAAGAGAAAGAGAGAGGGAGAGAAACATCAATGTGTGGTTGCTTCTCATGCGCCCTCTACTGGGGGCCTGAGCAGCAACCCAGGAATGTGCCCTGTTTGGAAATCAAACCAGTGACCCTTTGGTTTGCAGGCCAGCAGTCAACCCACTGAGCTACACCCACCACAGCTAGACTGTCCTTATTTTTTATAAATCTTTCTTCTTTCTTCTGATCTGTTTGGGTGTTTTCTACTACCTTGTTTTCCAAAACACTGATTTGGTCCTCTGCTTCTTCTAGTCTGCTGTTGATCCCTTCTAGTGTATTCCTTATTTGAGATACTGTATTCTTCATTTCTGGCTGGTTCTTTTTTATAGTTTCTATGTTGTTTTTCATGCTGTTGAAGTTCTCACTATGTTTTTGAGCATCTTCATAACCATTGTTTTGAACTATGTATCTTGTAGCTTGCTTGCCTCTATTTCATTTAGTTGCTTTTGGGGGATTCTCCTGTCTTCTGTCTGGGGCATGTTTCTTTGTCTTCCCCATTTGGCTATTTTTCTCTGTTTGCTTCTGAGTATTAGGTAGATGTTCCATGCCTTGGTATGGTAGCTTTATGTAGTAGGTGTGTTGTGGGGCTCAGAGGAGTGGTCTTTCTAATTTCCTGAGCTGAGTGCTGCCATTTTTTGTGTAGGTTATGTAAGCTGTCCAGTTGTATCAATAGTTGAGCGTTGATTGCTGTTGGTTTGTCCATGGTTGAGGTTGCCCCTTCAGCTGGCTATGAGGATCAACCCTGAGTGCAGTGCATAGATACTATGCAGAGACAGCTCCACAAAGCTGAATTTGTCCCAACAGTGTCTAGTGTCTTCTGAGATTTTCCCTTGTTTGTGCTGCTCATGGTGCTATGATGTATGTGGTCTGAACCACTGGTTGTATTGGTCCTGGGGCCCATCAGGAGGAGTCGCAGTGCTGCTAGGTAGCAGGCACTGACAGTGACAAGCTCTGGGCTACATGTTTGGAGGTATGACATAACCTATAGTTTGTGGCTGGCTCTACAGGGCCTCAGTGTGTGTGGGAGGGGCCTCACTGCACAGCAAGGCTCATTTCCACTGACACCAGACTAGAGGGCAGATCAGCAAAAGGACCAAAGCTCTCTGAGATCTGCCCTCACCTGTTAGCTGTCTGGTAGGCTCAGATACTGAAAGAGCCTTTGATGGTATACCAGTTGCTTGAGGGAGGCTCTCAGTGAGTCACTAGGCAGGTAGGAGTGACAGTTGTTCACCAGGCTGATAGAGATTCAAACTTGGTGCCAGTGCTGGGTTTAAAGCCGCTCAGCAACAGTCTCAGAGCACGCCATAATTATCCTCCACCTGCTTTGTGCCTGTGGACCTCTGTGGTGGGACCATGTCTCAGGGATTAATCAGAGTGTGGCCAGCAGTGCTCATCAGTCCTACACAGACTAAGATTTGGTTGCGTGAAGGGAGAGCTCTGCACAGGAAAGGTGATGCTGGTCTGGTATGAGCTGGGGAAAAATGGACCACTCAAGAAAAAATGGCCTCACCCTAGAGCCAAACAACTCATTTCCTTCTAGAATCTTCCCAGATCTAGTGGAGAGTCTTCTGTACCAGGGAACCAAGTTGGCTATGGCAGGCTGACAATACTGTGGACCACAAGTTCTGCAGGGCAGGGCTTCCAGGAGTCGGGGTGGTGGAGCTTATGGTTCTTCATTGATAGGGCTAGTAGATCTTTTATGGGGGTCCGGAAGCAGCTACTCTGGCTGTGGGCAGCACCTCAGGCTGGTGCTTGCCTATGGAAATAGGGTGTGAGCCATGGGACTACTGTAGCCATGGTGGGCAGAGCAGTCCAGGCTAGTATGGAACTGGTCTCTTCTGGCCCACAGTAGGCAGGGAAGGGAAATGGGTCTCTGACCCAGAGCCTCACAACTCTGTCTCTGATTCTCTTTGAAAGCATTCTCAAGATCCCTTCTAGAAAGTCTATACCACAGGCCTAGGCAGCAAACTGTTTTGGAGGTTGTGAGGTTGACTAGACTACAGGGGTGCCAGGAAGGTGGGGTTGTACAGTCCTGCTAGGCCAGTGCAGATTGGAGAGGAGTGTTTGCCCCAGGAAGGATGGTGTCCGTGGGCAGTAAGGTGAGGAACTCAGCACAGGGACTCTCGTGGCTATCCTCTCAGCTGTCTTCCTGGCCCCATACAGTCCAATCTGTCCTCGAAAGACTCCAGTTTGCTCAGATCCACACTCCCTGTGCTTGAGCCCAGTGTGAGTGTCTGCAAATTAGATTTTGTGTGCTAACCCTTTTAGTGGGCACTTGAGTTTCTATCAGTATCCCATCTCTTCCCAGTGGACACAATGCCTACTACTTTTACAGCCAAATGTTATGTGGGAGCCTCTTTTCAGCTTTGTTGCTCCAGGTGGGGGAGTTCAGTGTGGGATGCAGACCCCATGTGTCTCCTGGGGAACCTTTGCAGCTGAGATATCCCTCCAGATTCTCAGCTACCCAACTGGGGCCAGCACTTTTTGCATCTCCAACCTTCCTATCAGTCTTGATGTGGCTTCTATAAATCCTTGGTTATAAAACTTCTGTTCCGCTAGTCTTCAGTTGGTTATTTAGGTTGATTATTCTATAATTTAATTATAATTTATTTATAATTCCAGTTCGGGTCTGGAAGAAGGTGAGTGTAACTTCCACCTACTCAGCCGCCATCTTCTGACTTGTCCTTTTTCTAACTTCTTAAGTTAGAAACTTAGCTTATTGATTTTAGGTGTTGCTTCCTTTCTAGTAAGTGTATTTAAGATACTTTCTAATTTCTCCTGTGATTTCTTCTTTGGTGGATGGTTACTTAATTATTAGTGAACTGTATTTTTAGAGTAGTTTTAAGCTTACCAAAGTACAGAGCAGAAAGTACAGAGAGTTTCCCCATACTCACTACCCTCCTCTCGCGGCCTTCCTTGCCTCTCACCAGTGCAGTGCCCTTGTTACAACAGATAAACAAACATTGATGGGTTATTATCACCCAAATGGTCAGAGCATCCTCTTTCTAAACTACTTGCTTTCTTTAAAAAACAAACATGTATTGAATTTATATTTAAAAGAAAAATATACATTATATAACATCTACCAAATTTACAAATTAAGAATTGTATATTTATAAATGAAAGAATTACAGTAGAATTTTTCTGATGTGGTTTCTATTTAGATATTGAAAATGAACATTAATTAGTTTACAGAAGGTGAAGGGAGTAAATTATTTACTAGATTATATATAAATACATGATTTCATTCTTTTTTTCATTTAATTTTTTACTGTACTTTTTCCATTACCGTTTAGCCCCATTTTACCCACTTCCCCTCTCAATCACCACACTGTCGTCCATGTCTGTGAGTCCTTTTTCCTTTTTGCTCAATCTCCCCGCAAAACTCTCCCTCCCAATAGCTGTCATCAGGCTCTCTATATATGAGCTTGTCTCTATTTTGCTTGTTCGTTCAGTTTGTTTTTAAGATTTGAAACATCTTTAAAAATAACCTGGTTGAATGAGTCATGTTTTACATATATTTAGCATATTAGTCTTATTGGAGAAGGAAAATTTTTAAAATAAAAATTATTAGTATATTTTATTTAAAATAATGTTAGATTTAGGAATAGAAAATTTTTAAATTAAATTGTATTCAAGAATGCAATGTTTTGAATTTATGAAGAGAAACACTAAAACAATTTCCATAAAAACAATACATATAAAGTTTTCCAGTATTCATATCTCAAAATATTTTTAAGTCTTTCTGTTTATGCAAATTATCTTTTAATAAATACAATTTTTACTTTCCATTTTGTAATACTATAATTTTAAGTTTATGAAAATTATGAGTTAAATACTAATCTCATGTATGTAATAATTTTCTTTTACATTATGGAATCAAATTTTATCACAGGTTTCGTCTTGATATATATCGTTGTTTGGCCAGTCCGGCTCTAATAATGTTAACAGAGGAGGATCCAATTCTGAGAGCATTTGAACTTAGTGCTGATTTAAAAGAACTAAGCCTTGTGGAGGTGGAATTCAGGTGGGAATGAATGGAAATTATAAATTATATCTTTTTTTTCAGAATATTTATTTACATTTGATCCAAGATGACCAGATCTTGCTGTCACCTTCTGGGGATTTTCTTTCTCCTTTAGCGAATAGACCCCAGTGTAATTTAGGTCACTCCTGCCCATCTGCTTTCTGCCCCTCTTCCACAACCCTTAAATCCTTGCTTTGTTCAACATTGCCAAAGGCATCCTAGTGCAATGTGAAAAGCAGTGGTGTGGTAGCCCTAAGCAAGAACAAAATTATTTATAACTGCGCTCTGTCCTACCTCCCCTCATTCCCACATTCTATAATTATTCTTGGAGTGTGATTCTTTATAATTCTCAGAAACCATAGAATGCTTTCTGTATGTTGGGGCTATTGCAAACACAGAGACCTAGTCCCTTTTCACTGTTTGTTCACTGTTTGGTGAGAGTTTCTACTAGGAGAAGCATAACATGTAGACATCTCTTCTGAAATGAAGAGTTACGTGCAATTCTGGCAATTTGTATACCCAAGGAATCACTGTTATCATTTCTCCTAGAGAGATAAGTTGAAAGGGGAAAAAAGCTTTTTAAAAAAAACCAGCCTATTGAACTACTGACTTAGACATTTAAAAATTAAAAAAAAAACACTACATTTGTAAACTTTAGGAAAAGCTGTGAATGTTTCTCTAATGTTAAAGTATCCCTGGTGCCTTCCAAGGAAGGAAGACTTGATCAAGATTTCTTGACAGTCCCCACCTTTTCTTTCACGTCCAGCTGACAGTGGAGCCCATGTCTTACACTGCTGTCCTCCAGGGGCTTGATAAAATTGGGAAAATTTGAACTCCTACTTACTGGAAGGGCAAAAAGAAGCTTGCACTTTTCTTTTGCCTTTACAGCAGTGTATATAGTGAGTTCTTGATATCTCCAAGTTTAGAAACTTTCTATTTTAATCTCATAATTGGAGTTCTGAGTTATCACATAAAATAATTTATTTAACTCCTTTCAAAATGGAAACAACCACTGTGATTATATTGTAATCATAGTCTAATAAAGTAAGATTTTGAAGTGATCATAGAATCATTTCGATGGTCACTTGCTTTTCTGGATGGAGAATGTGATCTATAGAGGTTAGATATTTTACTGATACCAACTGCTGATTAGGAACAGAGTTGACCTTGAAAGTAGGAGCAGAGTTGTTGCTAGAATGGAAGGCAGACTCATAGCTTCTTTTTTACTATATTTCCATCTAAACCATACAGCCACTTATTCATTTTACAGTAATCTATTGGAGGTTAAGCAAATTAGGTATATAAAATATGTTAATGCTACCTTTGAATCTAGTGGTTTTACAGCCTTTATCTAAAGGTGAGATACCTTTGTAAAAAATATTCACTTTTGATGAATGTTTCCATCTGCAATTAGATTCCTAGACTAAGAAGCAGGTAATACTTCAGTTGTTAAAGAAATCCAACTATTTATTCTTAGGTATTTTGGTTACATAGTAAATCCAAAGAATGGATGACAAAAATGTTAGCTCCTAAGAAATAGTTTTTAACTTTTTGAGTTATAATTTTATGTAACCAGTTCATGGAAGATCCCATTGTAAAGAAATATTAATCCATGGGAAATCTTCCTATTTTCCCTTCCTTTCTCTTTAAGGAAAAAAAAGGAATAAAAATTGTTTTCTGAAGTTCAATTGACTCATAATTATTTCTAATTTTATTTATAAATTGTTTTACTCAGACATGTTTAATATACTTGATATTCTTACAAAGAATTACATACTAAAACTTTTTAATTCCTCACAAATTGATTTGGGCCTACCTTTAACAAGCAATTAAATTCTAAATTTCAAGGAATAGTGATTCTAAAAGAGAACTCTTTACTAAGCATGTTTCAGTATCTTTCTAACTCAATTTTTGTTTCAATGAGCAATTTAAAAATTAATCAAAATACTATTTTAATATCAGAAGTAGAATAAATATCTTGTAGGCTATTATTGAAAAAAGGCTTAAAAACTATATAATAATATTTATTAGATAACTAACATATTACTTAATATTTTAAGATAAATAATGTAAAAGGAAGTACTAAATATACTAAATATAGAGAATAAGGGAAAATGAGTTAAGTGAAGAATTGGTTGACAAATATTGTTAGAATTTCTAGGAATATCAGTATGTGTGAGGAAACATTGTGCTTATCTAAGGTTGTCAGTGTGAACATCAGAAACACAATCGCGTTATAGTTTTCCCACAGCTGTGGGGCATTAATGCACCAGTAGTTTAGTTGCCTTTGACTGTCAGCATAAAATGACTTCAGATTTTGAGTACCATCAGAACTAAAATATTACTGAGTAAAAGTTTTCTAGTGCAAATAGCTTAGTTAGAAAGCAGAAGTGACATTTCTAATAATCAATCATTGCATTTTGCAGGACTGATTATGAAGAACTAGCCCAGCAGTGTAAAATGTTTGCTAAAGATTTGCTTGCACAAGCCCGGAATTCACGTGAATTGGAAGTTATTCTAAACCATACATCTAGTGATGAGCCTCTTGACAAGCGGGGATTATTAGAAGAAAGAATGAATTTAAGTCGTCTAAAACTTGCTATCAAATATAACCAAAAGGAGGTATGAGGGTTTCTGTGATATATTTAAATTATTTCCTCCACAGTGGTCTAGTGGCTCAGAGCAAAGGCTTTGGAGCAGCACATATTGATTAAGATCCTAGTTCTGCTTCATAAAAACATGTGTCCTTGGGAAAGTTATTGAATCTGTAGGAGCTTTAGTTTTAAGAATTAATAAACATATATAGTTTAGAGTTTATTATAATGAGTACTGGCATTAAGCAAAAATGCAGGGGTAGTTGCTATTATTTTTGGTAGTTAATTTTCATTATAATAGTATGTACATTAATTTAATGTTTTTGCAAAATTGTAGCTACACAGGTAAGATCTTGTGTCATGACCTCATAGTGAAGTTTCCATCTCATGTTTTGTTTGTCATAGTTTGTTTTATTGATCTGGTTATAATAGTCCTTTTTATAGTAATAGTGCATTTCTATTTAAAAATAAAGTATCAGATATTATGTTTTCTGATTCTTATTTGTTAATTAATTGTGAAACCCAAGGGTAAAGAGGCACATGATAAGATAACTAAGTTGAATGTGATTCTTCTGACACCATCCCTTCCTATTAAGGGAAATATCTATTTCTATTCTCCATACACATACATACACATGATTCAAAAACTTGAAGAAGGAAGAAGGTATGAATTCTAAGTTTTATTTTAAGACTAATTTACAGTACATTTTATATGTATACAGTGATATCCAGTTGACAGTATGGAGTATTGATAAATGGTACTTTATTATCAATGGTATTGATAAAGGTATTGCTTCTAAGACCCATTATTTGTATTACCAACATAGGTATTGGCATAAAACTTGTTTATCAAATTCATTTTAATATAAAAATGAAGCTTGAAATAGATAATGGTAGAAGGCAAAATACAGGACCTCTGATGCTAGGAACAGAATTTTTTTAAATTTTGGTTGAAAATTTGAGCATATCATATCATATATGATATCTGTCCAGAAGGTATCCAGCCATGTAATATGAAGAATAGAGACATTTATTGAAGAAGATACAAGGTACAAGAAACATTGCACAAGGCACAATGACTCCTCAGTCCCCTTCAAAGCAGTCATCTTGGGACCTCACAGAGTTCTCTCAATCACCATCAGCTGCCCCTTTGTATTTTCCTGAATCTCGTCAATGATCTGAAATTTCTTCTCTTTCCAAGGTGATTTTAGTTTTGGGAAAAGCCAAAAGTCACAGGGTGCCAAATATGGGCTGTAGTGGGCTGAGTCACCTGAGTGATTCGATGTTTCACCAAAAAACTTTGCACAAGACATGATGCAGGTGCATTGTTGTGATGAAGCTGCCAATCACTAGTTGCCCATGGCTGTGGCCTTCTGAATCATCTGAATAGTTTTCATGGAGGAATGTTTAAGCATAATACAAAATTTGGTGCAGATTCGTTGCTCTACTTACTCAGTAATTTTTAATGCAATGGCCACACAGTACACATGCTTACTCAGTGATGTCTACCGTCCCCACTGACTAGTACAGTGAAGTCATCATTGTTCATGCATGTGCATTCCAGTCCACTCCTAGGCTGGCAGGTTATATCGATGTTGCACAAACCGTTCTGATTATATTAATAATGGCTGGATTTTTTTCTGCACAGACCTTGTAGCTTTGATACAGGGATTTTAAGATGTTTACTTTAAGATTACCTAGATAGTATATTGTTTATCCAGATCTCTGGCTTTAAATTCTATATTTTTCTAGTATTCCAAGGTTCTTGGCTAAGATAAAACATTTTAGGGAAAAAATTAAGTATAAGAATTTGGATCAGTGTAGCTTTAAGATTATAAATCAACAAAGTAGCTGTGTGGGTTAAAAAGAAAATATAATGCTAAAGTGTACAAGTAGAAACAGAACAGAAACCCTGATGTAACCTTCTTCTGATAAGTATCTTGACTAGACATTATTGACTAGGTACTAGGCTAATTTATGTACTTACTTGTTCCACAACTTAAAATAGACATGAACTTTTAGAATATGGTAGAATAGGGAGATAACAAGATACAAAATCAATGTAAGCGATTGGGAAAAGAACATCAAAGAAAAGTGGACAGAACCAAGGCAGTCCTGGTTAGGGAAGAAACAACGAAGAGGCAGTTTCCTAACAATATATTTATGTACCTGAAGGACACACAAGAGGTAACCAAATGTTTCTTTCTAAAGAAGATGAAAGAAAAGGAAAAAGAAATAATAATATTTTTAGTTGAAAGGAAGATACTCCATAATTTTAAGGATTAAAGAAAATGTAAAATAGCTTTTTAAACTAAATTTCTAAGTATGATTAAAGGAGAAGATAATATTTTCTGAAATAATTGGTAGACTTTATTCATCCTGAATAACAAATTACCCTAATACTTAGTGGCACCTAAAACAGCATCTCATCATCATTTATAATAGTTTTATAATCATTTCATTATATTCTTAGATTCTCTGGGTCAGGACTGAGGAAAGGGCATAGCAAAACTGATTTGTCTCTGCTTCACCATGGGTAGGGCCTCACCTAGAGACAGCTCACATGACTGGGGGCTACAGTTGCTCGGAGGCTTCTTCACTCATGCCTCAGGTGCTTGAGCAGGCCCTGGAGGACTCAAGCAGGGAGCTCTGAGTGGGCTGGGTGCTCAGGTGGATAGGTCCACAGAAAGTGGGCTTCTTGAGAACTGGAACCATAGATGGGTATGGCCATGATGGTGGGTTGGCTATGAGGAGATGGTCCGAGGATCCTCTGAGGGCTGACTGCTGTGCCTACGTATAGCCTGGGCTTCCTCACAGCACGCTCGCTGGCTTCAGGGTGGTAGGGCTTTTTACACAGCAATTTATGGCTGTGAGAGCAAATGCTTTTCAAAGTGGAAGCTGAATGACCTTTTATGAGCCCCCTTCACAAGTCACATAGCATCACTTCTTCCAGAATCTCCTGGTTAAAGCAATCACATGTTGAAGGGTAGGGAACATCTATAGCCTGCCTCTTGATTAGAGAAGTATCAAAGAATTCGTGTCTCCATTTTAAGTATTTTTTAATCCTCACACAAGGATTTTTTTAATTGATTTTAGAGAGAAAGGAAGGTAGAGAGAGAGAGAGAGAGAGAGAGAGAGAGAGAGAGGCAACAATGTGAGAAACAGTCATTGATTGGTTGCTTCTCATACACACCCAGCCCAGGGATTGAACCCCTAGCTGAGGTATGTGCCATGACCAGGGATCGAACCCGTGACTTTTTGGTGCATGGGACAATGCTCCAACCAACAGAGCCACCTGGGCAGGGCTGTAGCTACATTTTAAATCCACCAGAGAATAATAACATTTCCAACTGAAATTTTGTTTTTCCAATTACCTATATAATATTACTATTAATTAAATCACCACTATACAGAGGGATGGCAAGCACAGCAAATAGTCCTGAGATTGCTTTCACATTTTGGGGGAAGGGTGAAATCATTCAGTTTAGGATGCTACTAAATTAGGTAATTGGTAGAAGAAAAAGCTATTTCTCTCTCTAGTATTTCATCTTGAAAGACAAATTGAGATTCCCTAAGAACACCTGAATTTGAGCAGAAGAACAAAGAATGAAGTAAGACTTAAGTGCCAAAAAGAAGTATAGTATTGAGTTGGCCAAAAAATCTGTTTAGTGTTTTCCGTAAAATAAGAGACACATTTTTCATTTTCATCAGTAACTTTATTGATTTGGATATTTTGAGTATGTTGGCTATCTCCTGCTATTGGCTTCTAGTGGGTGGAGGCAGGGCATGCTGCTAAATACCTTCCCATGCGTAAGACAGCACCAAGGCAAAGAATTATTTGGCCAAAGTGTCAATAGTACCAAGAAATTTCACAAACCACTTTTGACACGTTCAATCAGCCTCAGCGCCTTCTCCATATGCTGCACAAATCTTTTTTTGTGTCTCAGTTGTGATTTTACTTTTCTTAAAATAATAAAGCATAATGTGCTGAAAATGCTGCATATTTACTTTCATTTTCAATATTAAAATGGTTACACAAAAATTTACCAATTCTGATAAGTTTTGCTTTAAAGCACACTGCTATGACAGCTGTCACACTACTATTTAACAAAATTGTTTTGAATGAAATTAAAGACAACTAAGCATGACTAGAGGCATCGTACAGGAGAAAACTAAATGAACTCTTTGGCCAACTCAATATATTAGGGAATTTCTTGATAAGCACAATAAACAACAACAGGAACTTTTTTTACTACAGTGCTGCATTGTACAAATTATACTCTATCACAGGATAAATCATTTTAAAATAGAAGATTGACTAAATATAATTTAGATATCAGTGATATTATGATTGCTTTTGCTTTACTTTGGTAATTTCAAACCTGATCACAGTGCTGTATGTATTGGAATCCTTATGTTAACTTTACACTGTGAGCATTCTATTGGGAAAATATTGCTTCTGGAATTTGCAAACTGAAAAGCTTCGTAAACTTTGATAAACTTTTATTTTCTGTACTTAAAACTAGCATTTTCTTCTTATTTGAGAATATTTTTCCTTCCACACAGAATTCAGTTTTAAGCAGACTAAAGACTATTGCACTTGAACCTTTCTGTTTTTATGCATATGTCTGATGCTTATACTTTGATTGCTTTGCTAGCTTGATGTCTTTGTTTCTTGTAACAAGAATCATTAATTTTTGTAGACTGAAGTCTCTTCCTATGGTTGTGCTTGTTAACTTTGAAATTTCATAAACATTTTTATAAGAGTATTTATAAATTATTGCAAAGTAGCTAAGTAGGCTAGTAATAATCATTAATACATAATAGTGCATGCTATGAACTAGGCACTATTTTAAGAGTTTTATGTTTAATCCCCATAACAAGTTTATGAAGTAGATACCATTACTATCTCCATTTTCAGATAGGGAATTTGAGGCTTAGACACGTTTAAAAACTTGCTCAAGGTCATTTAACAAGTGGCAGAGCTAGATTTGGATCTCCGTAACTGGCTCCACAGTCTATGCTCTTAACCTCTACACTCTTTATTACATGTAAGAAAGAAAATCTAGGTGGACTGTATAAAATTGTTTTTTTGCTATTAAAACTTTGAATATCAATTAAACATGGTATTATCACAACCTGCTTACAGGTTCACTTTACCTTTTTTATATGTGTGTATTCCTTTTCAGTTCGTCTCCCAGTCTAACTGCCAGCAGTTTCTGAACACTGTTTGGTTTGGACAGATGTCAGGTTATCGACGTAAGCCCACCTGTAAAAAGATAGTGACTGTTTTAACAGTTGGCATCTTCTGGCCACTTTTGTCACTTTGCTATTTGATAGCTCCCAAATCTCAGTTTGGCAGAATCATTCATACACCTTTTATGAAATTCATCATTCATGGAGCATCATATTTCACATTCTTGCTGTTACTAAACCTATACTCTCTTGTCTACAATGAGGATAAGAAAAACACTATGGGACCAGCTCTTGAAAGGATAGACTATCTTCTTATACTGTGGATCATTGGTAAGTATCAAGTTCATTTGAAAGGTTCTGCCCATTAATTCTCCTTTGTTTGGTGGCATTATAAATATCTATATTCAATTTGTAATTTTATACTGTTTACACATCCAGGATTTGAACACTTCTATGATCACTGAAAACTGACATTTTTACAAAAATAAATATTCGTGAACTTGATGATAAGGAAACAGAGCTCTTGTTAATTAATTACATGGAAGTTAAAATTTTTTATTATCAGTCTCTAAAATGGTTTATGATTATTAAAAACAAATTTTGCTGATAAATGCCCTTTTTGGTATAAGATGGTGAACCTAGTTGTACATATTTTGAAATGTAATATATTTTATACTTGGTTGAATTTTAAGAGTTAAGTATTTTGTTTTATTATATCATTAGTTTTCCTTTTAAGAACCTATGAGTCTTCACAGTTACATTTTCCTGGTTACTCACTCTATAAATCAGTTTTTTGTATTGATAGCCAGATCTCTTTAGAAATTATAGGGTTTTAGTACATATATATATATGACATTTTGTTTGTGAAATTAGTTTTTATAAGTATTAATGCTGTATAATGAATATTTTAAATGACCTTTTGCTGCCCTTGCCCCTTTTTTGATGGGGGTGAAAGGTAAGGAGTTCAGGTATAATTGTGTTGTCTACCTACGGATTTTTAATGACATCTCCTTCGTTTCTCTCTGTATTTCATCCTTGTTTTTAACCTCAGCATTTCTGACTTATGTTTCTACTATTTTCTATACAGTAAAAGGATATTGAAATTTAGTCTTTTCTATGGTATAAAACACTGATTAATATGTTTTTGATTGTTTCATTTATTACATAATTTGAGAAGAGTTAATGTAAAATGTTCACCTTTAATTCTCAGCTATAAAATTAATTTGCATATTTGAGATTTTTATTTTTATTTGGAAATTAATTAATCTTAAATAACTTGATTTCAACCAGAGTTTTACTTTTAGCACTGTTCAATCCATGATACATTAATGTTTAAAATAGGTAGGTAAAACAGACAGATGGCAAAGTAGGTATACCACGTGCTCAGCTCCTCCCCTGACCACATCAAAACTACAACCAACCTACACAATAGCCATTATTGAGAATCACCTGAAGCCTAGTTGAACAGAACACCTATAATTAAGAGTATAAGAAAGGAACCACGTCAAGATTCAAGATCCGTGGGAGGGATGGAGACCACACACTGTGGCAGCTGAGAATTGGAAGACTGTGGAGGTTCCCCCTGAGGAGCAAAGGGTCCCAGCCCCACACGACACCCTAGCCTGGGGCTCTAGTACTGGGAAAAGAAGTCTCCATAACTTCTGGTTGTGAAGACCAGCAGGGCTTGTGGCTAAGGGGATTATTTACCCAGGCTTTCCTTGTAAACAGTCCATCCAAGGAATTACCTTGCTGACCGACTCACTAGCTCTAACTCCAGTGCTAGGGCCATAGTCAGGGGCATACTTGGAGAAACTGGATTGTCTGGCTTCAGGGCAAAGGCTGGAAAGGCCACTTTTTCCCAGACAAAAATGCTAGCAGAAGCCATTGTTCCTTTGTTGAGCTCTCCCCCACCCAGCCACAGGTGCAGATGGGCTCTGTATCTGAGTCTCAATTGACCTGGCTAATACTGCTCATCCTGTCCTGGTGATTCCCTAAGTCCCTGCCCCACCTATCTGGAAGGTCTACGCAAGCCTCTTCCCATGGCTTTTCCATAGAAAAGGTCTGTCTTGGTTCATGCTACTGACTTTCCTAAAATCTTTCAAAGGTTCATAAAACTCAGACAAGCAGCATCTGAACTTGGCCTGTCATGTGCCTCTTGCTAAGCAGCCTCAAGCCTGGCACTAGTGACATCCAGCCTTGGTTCATAGGTTAGCCTCTCCCAGGTACCTCTAAGCCCAGCACAAGCAGTAACAACTACAGATCACTTTGTAGTTTATAACAAGTGGCTCCAAGCAGGTCACAGGCAGTGACCAGCTAACCCTGGCCTGTACCAGAGTCCCTCCCAAGAGGTTCCAGAACCAGCATATGCAATGGCCAGCATCAGAGCACACCAGAGCACAATCCAATCATCTCTACTCGAGACACACAGAAAGGGTGGACATGGAAGGCACCAGGGCCTCACTAGAGTGCATTGTGCTCTGTAGGTTCTGCCCCCACAAAACAGCTCCTCCACTGGAGTCATGGCCAGCCCTCATAACCAATCAGTCTCAAGGGCAGTCCCACCCTTTTACATGCCAACAGCAATCAAGGCTCAGCTACAACAGGAGGACACACACAACCCTCACAAGCGACACACTTGGAGCATGAGCCAGGTAATCAGGGAGAATTCACTGCTGAGCTCCTAGGGACACCTACTACATAAGGCCACTCTGCCAAGACCAAGAGACATAGTAGCTCTACCTAATGCATAGAAACAAACAGGAGAGAGCCAAACTGAGGAGATAAAGAAATGTGGCCCCAATGAAAGAACAGAACAAAACTCTAGAAAAAAAACTAACAAAAAAAAAATGGACAAGCAACCTAGCAGATGCAGAGTTCAAAGCACAGGTTACAACAATGCTTAGTGAATCTAGGGGAAGAGTAGATTAAGTCAGTGAGTACTTCAACAATAAAATGAAGACAAAATAGAGATAGAGATAGGGGGTCAATAGTAGAATAAGTAAAACAGAGGATCAAATCAGCAATTTGGAAGAAAAGGTAGCAGATATGCCCAATTTGGACAGCAAAAAGAAAAAGTAATATTAAAAAATAAGGATAATTTAAGAGGGCTGTGGGACAACATCAGGCATACCAACATTTGCATCATACAGGTACCTGAAGGAGAGGAAAGAGAGAGAAAGGTATTAAAAATGTATTTGAAGAAATAATGACAGAAAACTTTCCTAACCTGGTAAAAGAAGGAGACATGCTAGTCTGGAAGCACAGAGTCCCAAACAGAATAAACCCCAAAAGCCTACACCAAAATACATCTTAAGTAAAATTAAGCAAAAGGTTAAAGACAAATAATTTTAAAAGCAGCAAGAGAAAAACAGTTAGTTACCTACAAGGGAGCGCCCATAAGACCGTCAGCTGATTTCTCAAAAGAAACTTTGCAGGCCAGAAGGGATTGGCCCAAAATATTCTAAGTGGTGAAAAGCAAGGCCTACAACCAAGACTACCCAACAAAGCTATCATTTAGAATCAAAGGAGAGATAAAGAGCTTCTCAGACAAAAAAGAGCTAAAGAAGTTCACCACCACCAACCAGTATTACAAGAAATATTAAAAGAGTCTTCTTGAAGAAGAAGGAGAAAGAGGAGGAGAGGGAAGGAAGTGGGAGGAGGAGGAGAAAGATAACAAATATTAACAATGAAATCTTGCCATTTGTACTAACATGGATGTATTGGGAGGATGTTGTAATGGGTGGGGGGAGGGTTGAACAGAGAAGGACAAATTATGTGTGATTTCACTTATATGTGAAATCTAAAAATTGCTAAATGAACAGGCAAAGCAGAAGCAGACTCATAGATACAGAGAATGTTTAGATGGTTGCTGGATGGGAGGGAGTTACGGGAATAGGTCAAAAGGGGGAAGAGATTAAGATGTGCAAATTGCCAGTTATAAAAACAGTCACATGGATGTAAATTATGATATAGGGAATATGGTCAATAATATTGCAGTGACTTTGTATGGTGCCAGATGGGTACTAGACTTATAAGGGTGAACATTTCCTAAGTTGTACAATATAAATATCTAATCACTATGTGTACAACTGAAACTAATATAATAGTGTATGTCAATTGTAATTGAAAAATAAAAGGTATTAAAAAATAAAATTAGGTATATAAAGTAAAAATAATATACATCTGAACTTTAGGTCAAAGGCTATTAAATAATTTCTTATTAATATTTCTTTTTTCCTTGTTTCTGCTACTTTTTAAAAAATGGTATGTTTAATTTAGTAAATAATTTATACTTTATCATATGTAGTTCCAAATTGCATTGTTACAGATCTTTTCAATGTGAAATTTATGTACATTGTTATTTGAGTAAGTTAAAAAAATATTGGGCTGAAAGAAATCTCTTAAGAAACACTTCCTCTATTCATTTGGGTGTCCAACCTTAGGTGTCTCTGGGCCACATTGGAAGAGGAAGAGTTGTCTGCGGCCACACATGAAATACACAAACACTAACAAAAAGTGATGAGCAAATAAAAGGTTTTCGTAAATTTATGATTTTGGGTTGGGCTGCATTCGTAACCATCCTGGGCCACATAGTTAAATTTGAAACTATTTCTAAAAGATTGTTGTACATACCTTAGTCATAAAGAAAGGAAATTTTATATTGTTTATTTATAACTTACTGTTTAAATGGTAATGAGAAAGATAGAAAATATTTTTTGTTTTATAAATAAGATTCAGTTTACCTAAGTCTGTGTAAGAATCAAATTACAGTTATATTTCCTAGCAGCGAGTGAACACTCATTGAATTCAAAGAGTCCTACCGCCCTTTGGACAGCATAAACATGCTGCTGTCACTGAATTTGGTAATAATGGTAAAACTGTGGCTACTTCTTTTTAACCATGGTGACCCTGTTTTCAATACCATTAGTGCATGCACACACACACAATATGATTTATTCTCTAATCATATTCTGCCTCAGTAGAACAGGGAAATGTGAGGTAAGCCAGTAAAATTCCCAAAATTATTACTTTTCTCAGCACAGCTTCTGCTTTAAACATTTAGATCTCAATAAACCTTGCCAAGGATGTCTTCCAAGCCTGTTATGTAAGTAGATTACTGTGGGCTTTCTTAAATATATAATCTGAACATGGCCTGAGGAAACACGGAGGAATCGTTTGCCTGCTTGTCAAAAGTCACCCTGTAGCTCAGTTTATCTCGTGCCAGGAGCGCAGCGAGCTTTGACTCATGGTGACTGACTTTTGTACAATGGTTTCCTGTTTGTTTTCTCAGCCCTCCAGAAAAGGTAGGGTTAAATTATAAAAATTAAGGTGGGGAAAAAAGAAACTGTGTTGGTGAATGCAAGAATATTAATGGCATCCTTTCTTAATTTTTTACTGTTAGAATATACTAGAACAGCTACTATAAAACTGTACTTTAAAAAATGGCACACCTACTTTATCCAAGCATGGACAGAAACACATAGGGCCCAACACTCATGGAGCTTGTGGTCTAATTAAGGCAAAAACAAACAAACAGAATAACTTGAGAATCACATGTATAAATTTAAAATCTCAAGTGAGTTAAGTGCTACTAAGTAAAAGTCAGGGAGCTAGGAGAGCAAGCATGTTATAAGGGTGTTTCAACCTAGTCAAAGAAAGAGATTGGGAAGGCTGTCCTACAGAAGTGCTAAATGAGCTAAGATTGAAAGTGTAAATAGGAGTCAACTAGGAGAATTGGGAAAGCATTCTAGGCTGATACAAAGTTAAATTCAGAGGCCCTGTGGCAAGAGGAAGCATGGTACAAAGAAGGAACTGAGGAAAGGCTGGGGCAAGGGAAGTGGAATTCAAGAGGAAGCTGTATAAACAGGTGTGCTTCAGGCCATGGAGACTCAGGGGCCATGTTAAGTAATTCTGACTTTACTAAGAACAATGGGAAGCCATTGCCAGGTTTACATAGATGAGCGACACGATCAGGTTTGCCTTTTGAAAAATCATCTGGCCGCAGTGTGGAGAATGGGTTGGGAGGGCAGGGCTGTAGCAAGAGTAGATGGAGGGAGACCAATAGGAGGCTGTTGCTGTACTCCAGTGGAAGCCGGTGGTACCTTGGATTTAGGGATATTGTGATAGGAAAAGAGATAAAGAAACAAAATATCTTGAGAGATATTTACAAAGTGAAGCCAATACAACATGGAAATACAGATTATGTAGGGGGTGAGGGAGAGGGAGATTATTAAACAACATAGATATTTTGGTAGAGTACTAGGTTTGGAGATTTGTGAGTGGGTATACCTATAGTGTGGTTCTGGATCGGTTGAAATTGCACAGTCTTTGAGATATCCCTAAGATGTCTGTCAGACATCTTAGTCTGGAGCTGAAGAGGAAGTCTAAACTTGAGTTAGCCATTGTGAATAAACTATGGTCATGGATGTGACATTGGAAAATTAGAAGAGAGGACCTAGGACCAAGCCTTGAGGAATCCCAAAATCATGGAATTACAGTTTGCTAATGTTTGTTACTAATTCTAAAAAAACAAAAACAAGGAGGACCCTGAAATATAGTACATTGATTATGTAGTGATTACATTGCTTATAATGGTTTAAATTTACTTCGTTCTTGCAATTGAGAAGTATGAAGTTTGTTGTGTGCTAGCTTCGTTTTTGGTGTGGGGTGTGCACAGGAGATGGGAAGCTGCCTGATGGTGGTACTTACTGCTCTTTCATATGTCTCTGACTTTTTTAACCAAAATCTTTTCCAAATCATGTTCTGAGTTTAGTCAAGAGTTCCCTTTAGGTATAATATTGCATTTTACAGAATGCAATTCTACTTATTTTTGTAAGCATTTTGGGGGGCAGGTTAGTGTTATAGTGTCACAGTAATTGAGTTAATAAAATGTAGACTATTTGGTTTAACATTTTCAGATAGTTTATTATATATTTTTTTCTCCCCTGTTACCTCTTCATTTTAAATAGCTGCTCATCCAAGTGGAATTCTTTCTTTTTTAAAAAAAGATTTTATTTATTTATTTTTAGAGAGAGGGGAAGGGACGGAGAAAGAGAGGGAGAAAAACATCAATGTGTGGCTGTGGGAATCTCTGGCCAATCTTGCACACCCCTCACCATGGACCTGGCCTGCAACCCAGGCATGTGCCCTGACTGGGAATCAAACCAGCGACCCTTTGGTTCACAGGCTGGCACTCAGTCCACTGAGCCACACTACCCAGGGCCCAAGTGGAATTCTTAAAACTGCTTTTCTTGTCAGATCTGCAAATATTTGTAAATGTTTTTTCTATATAAAATATGGTTACTGTATAATTAAGATGTTATAAACAGAGTTTTTAAAAAATGTGTCATGTTTCCCAGGGGAACTGTTCTCCCTTCTGGGAAGCCAGAGAATAATTTTGATTGACTTAACTTGATCTTCACCCATATGTTATGTTACAACACTGTTCTTTCGTTACTTTATAGTCTTTTAAAATATCTTAATGTAGGAATGTATCATAAAATTATCCTAGATTACATTATTGTTCTCTGGCACTCCTAGCAATATATGACTCTGGAGGAATCTCTGGCCAAAAATAGGGAAGTTTTGTTTGTTTGTTTGTTTTTTAGCTGTGTATGTTTATTCACTTAACATATTTTTTTGAGCACCTACTATGTATCAGGTGCTATTCAGGACATTTACATTTAGGACATTGGTTAATAAAACAGATTCTTACCCTTGAAGAGCTTACCCCAAATGAGGGGAAGATAGTTAATAATAGACATACTAAGTAAACTGTACCCAATGCTTAAAAAGGATAAGTACTAAGGGGAAAAAATAGAAGCAGAGTTGGGGGGTTGGGAGTGGGGAGCATGGGGTTTGCAATTTTAAATAGAGTGATAAGAGTAGGTGGTGGCAAAGACATGAAGTGAGGGTGTTAGCCAAATGGTTATCTGGGTGAGGCGCTCCCAACCAGAGGGAAGTGCCAGTGTGAAGGCCTGGAGGCAGGAGTCGTGTGTGTTGTAAGAATAGCAAAAGGAATCAAGGAGGCCAGTGTGACTAGAGTAATAGAAGGAAAGATAGGAGAGGAGGTCAGCAAGGGAGGTAACGTAGGGCTTTGCAGTCCATTGTGGGGAATTTGGTTCTGACTCTGAATGAAGTGATGTAAGGGAAGGTGCAACACCCACTCTGCATGATCAACAGCAGTGATTTGGGGGTTGTATTCATACTCATAGGACACAATAGGCAGAAACCTGGTGCCAGGCATACTTAGCTTTGTAGTATACAAACAGGAAGTACAGCATGACAGCTTCAAATACATCTTTGTTAGTGGTTCTTACAAAAGTTTGAGGCTGCTTCAAAACCTCATAGTGGGCGCACTCAGTTATATGGGATGTGGCCATCTGGATGTATGTGGGCTACTCCAGCTAGAGAAGCCTCAAGTCTAGCAGGGACTGTATCTTATAAAGCCTAAGCATGTAGCTCCCATGACAGGCACACTCTTAAGTTAACTGAGACATCACACAGAAAAGCTGAGGCCTGTGTCTCATTTTTTTTACATACTTGCTGTGTATACCTTCAGGGTCTTTGAGTTCACTCATAGTCTTACTGGTCCAGATGTAGTTTCTCAGTCAGTGGTTATTTCTATAATGTTGAACACAGCTATTCTTCCATGTTTTTCTCAACATAGTATGCTTCCAAGGAAATCACTGTAATAGAAGATAGCATGAGGTTATATTCCCTTGGAGAAAGAGTTCTGACCTGCAGTAATCCTTTCTCCTTTGAGAGTTACTGCTGGCTTTTGAGAAGAAAAGTTACACTTGGCATTTTAAAAGGATTACTCTGATTACTATGTTGAGAATAGATTTTAGGGAGATTGGAGTAAAAGAAGGGAGACCACATAGGCTATTAAAGTAATCCAAGCAAGAGATGATGGTAGCTTGAAGTTGAAGTGGTAGTGAGAAGGGTTAGATGCTAAGTATATTTTGAAAGTAGAACCAAAAGGTTTGCCACTGCATTGAATGTGTGGTTTAAAAGAAATATAAGTCAAGGCTGATTCCAGGACATTTGGATGGAGCAACTAGAAGAATGGAGTTGCCATCCAATGAAATGAAAGTCTTCGAGTGCAGTGAATTTGGGGTCAGAGATTAGGAGTTCAGTTCAGACATGTAGGACAACCAGCTGGAGACGTAGAGCAGCCAAGTACCTATACAAGTAGAATTCAAGGGAGGTTTAGAGATATTTATTGTTATATAAATACAGGCTGAATTTAGAAACATGCATTTGGAAGCCTGCCACACATATGTATTCAAAGCCGTTAGACTGGGCTGGGTGAGGTCCCCGGAAGAGTGAGTATAGGTGAGAAAGAGGTCAGGACCTGAGCCTTTGGGATGTGTGTCTGTGGGGCATGGGTTTATTTGTTTTCTTTTGCTTGTTGACCTTACTCCCTCTCTGTGAAAGATAGTATATGAAATTTAAGATTATTTTGTTTCAAATTTTAGAATTTTTACTGAAAAGTTATTTTTTCTTAATGAGGCTATAGCTGATACAAATGTTATTTATTTAATACTTTCTTTGAGTCTTAAAGTATTTTTCACTTTATTATTGAATTAAGAAAGCATTATCTGATTTTTTCCTTCTTTTTTTTTTTTAGGGATGATTTGGTCAGACATTAAAAGGCTCTGGTATGAAGGGTTGGAAGACTTTTTAGAAGAATCTCGTAATCAACTCAGTTTTGTCATGAATTCACTTTATTTGGCAACCTTTGCCCTCAAAGTGGTTGCTCACAACAAGGTGACTATTAGCTATGTCAGTTGGAGGCACAGATGAAGTTTATTTAGGAAGAACCTGGTTAGATATCTAGCTACCCAGTTCAGAGTTACATTGGCTCAAATCCATATCTGATGTGTTTTCATTTTAAACCTATCCCTGTGCAAGGGACTAGTGCGCACGGCTGCACTCCTTCCAGTAGTTTAAGGGAGGTGAATCACCTTTAAATGTTAATTACCTATTATATGTCAAGCACCATGGTTGATGCTCGCTATACTTTATCTCACTTTATTCTCACAGGGACTCTATGAGACAGGTGTCCTTATCCCCATTTTTCAAATAAGGAAAATGAAGCTCAGAAATATTAAGTAACTTGTCTAAGACCACACAGTAAGAAACCAAGACTGGATTTAAATCCAGGTCTGTCTAGATGTTTTCTTTCTACCAAATGCTGATTCCTTATATCTAAGCTAGGTTTATTTACCTCATTAATCCATAGGTACTTAAAAGGAAAACATAAAGTTACTTAAATTAATTAGCATTAGATACCTTCACATCTGCCAGAAAAAACTTACACGAATGCAATTCATTATATAGTATTTCACACATTCCAAATTATGATTTATTTTACACAGCTTAAAAAGTAATGTATATGTAATTATTTTTCTGATGCCTGTGTTAAATTTAGAAATTGACAAATATCTAGCCTTATTGATATCTTACAATTTTACTTGTATAAAAATTTGTGCTTCCCCTAGCCCAGGAAAGGTCATAGATTTTATGTTAACTAAAGATAAGGTATTTTCTGGATTTTTTGACCAATTTATAGACTATAGGAAAAGTGAACTAGTTATCTAACATAATTTTACTTTATTAAAAACTTGGTTCCTTTACATAATCAGCAGTATGCAATATGTTTGTTAGGTGTCTTCAATGACCAGAGTTATGAAATTACTAAGAAATAAAAATTGGTCATACATAGATATATGGTTCAAGAAAGAGCTGAGGGTCATTGTTTTTTTAGACTGGTCTCTTTAGTTGTAGAAGTGGGTGCTTAGATCATATATTAGCTGAATCAGGACATTTTGAGAATTAAAGGGGACAAATACTGTTAACAATTGTGCCAGGATAAATGGTTTATAACTTGAGACTACCCCAGGCATTTGGAACACGTGGCCACTCTATATCTGGTAACGATGCACCCTCTTTGCCTTGGCATTTAGAAGGAATAAGACCTACTCCAGTTCATTCTAGAATCCTGAGTCAAGGGGCTAAGTTAATTTAATATGATAGCTAATAAATTAACATGTAAGCATACTTTAAATTTGTGTTGTGGAATTTAAGAAAACCTAGCAAATGTTTCATTTGTAAAATGTTCAAGGACAGTTTTTAAAATTGTTTAATTTTTTAAAAATCTAACAACTTCTGAGAACCTCATATAGAGTAAGGGCATTGCCTTATCTATGTAGAAATCTTTTATTTAGTTAAAACACTGTTATTTCTATTAAAAGAAGAAAAACTTTATAAAACATAAATGGTGATCTCCCACAAGGAGATGTAACTTAAATAGGTTATTTTTCCCCCAAGAATTGCAATATGTTTCTGTTTTCCTAAACTGAGAGATCTATTTACCTTTGGCTTTTCTTCCTAACTTCAGTTTCATGACTTTGCTGATCGGAAGGACTGGGACGCATTTCACCCCACACTGGTGGCAGAAGGGCTTTTCGCATTTGCAAATGTGCTGAGTTATCTTCGTCTGTTTTTCATGTATACAACAAGTTCTATCTTGGGTCCATTACAGGTAAATAAATAACATTTCTTAAAGACTATTTGTTAGATGTCATCATTATTAATACCTTTCTACTTATCCACTGGAACACTGTTCTCTCATGATGTTAAAGCTAACATCATGAGAACATGATGTTTGTTTTTGAAAATAATTAACAATTGAAAGGACACAGTGTGTTCATCTACTTTGCTTCTGGCTTAATGATAATCCTTAGCTTTCAGGTATTGAAACTTTACTAAACTGTGGCCCATTGTTTGTCTCTTCCTAGTCCATAGACATGGATAGCTTTTAAATATAGTTATACTTCAGACATTAGAGGGACATAAAAATCTGCTTCTTACCAAAATGAATCTCACATTTAAAGTTTTAAGTGATAAATATAAGGGAAGTGTTGTATAAACAGAATTTATATTACATGGGTTTGAAAATATGTAAGCTCTATTTTAAAAAATACTCTTTCATTTTGTTTAATAAGTATTAAATGCAGTAAGTTGAAAAATAGCATAATGAGAGCTTAAAAATTCACAGAATTCATATAGTCCAGTTTTTCATATGGTATATTATAGTTAAAGAAACTGAGCTTTTGAGATGTTATGTGATTATTATACATGAGAGTCCAGAACTAAATGCTTACTTTTTTTGCAGTAAAGAAAGGACTCAAAATTGGTTGAATTTACCCCACAGATTTTAGTAGTTGATTGTTTTATAGAAAATAGGATCAATTCTGCTACGTGCTTGGCTCTACATATACTCTTAAGTTATAAATCTGAAAATCTGAGCAATATTTATTTTTCCATGATAAATCAAAATTTACTAACAATTTTAGATTCACTTTTATGTTTTTAAAGGAGATATTTTTTGGAAACTAAGGTGAAACTTATTTTTATCATAATTCTTTTTAAAAATGTTTTTATTGTTGTTCAATTATAGTATCCCATATTTAAATACAAGGCAAAATTACCCTTTCCAGAGATGTGAAAATAAAATGTGTAGGGGAAACCTGATTTGATTTGGTTTGCGCTATCATTCTCAACAGTGTTTCCTGAAGTGTGACTCCCTTAACCAGGTCTGACAGAAATAAGTTTGGGACACACTGCATTCCGTATACTTCCTTTGGGAGTTCGCAGTCCACATTATTACAGTCAAGTCTGTGAGAAAGAAATAAAGAAACTTGTTTAACCTTGTTCAAATTATCATTACTTATATTCATTTAATGCCATACCTATCTTTCACAAAATATGCTAATAAGGTCTCTGTTTTCCTCCAAAATATAGTACGTGAAACACCAATTTGAACCATCTTTTATTTAATTTTGCCACTGATATCTTTTATGAACATTTTAAGCAAGAGTTAACAGTATTTTTACATGGATATTGATTTTTTAAGCTAAAAACTGATGGTATCACTCAGTTCATGTACTAGAAATTTCTTTATGAATTTCTAGAGTTAAAAAGGAAAAAGTGTATTATTTCTTACTGAATTATCTATTTGTTTTTCTTATCTACTTCAAATTATCTATTTGTCCTCCTAAATCTCTTCCCCAAAACTACAGATGTGCACACAAACGCTGCAGTTGTCACTTCCACTGCTGGGTGTGTGTTCTCTCCCAGCAGGGTCATTCGTGGAGTTCTAACAGCTGTAGAACTAACAAGTAGTTTGTCAGGCCAACAAATATTTGTTGTGTTCCTATTTTTTAAAATGTCTTCAGGGTAATCATAATACATGTTTAAATGTCATGATCCAGTTCAGCAAATGATTTCTTAAAAATTATCTTATTAAGGTATAATTTGCATAGAATAAAATGTACCCATCTTAACTGTATAGTTTGATGAGTTTTGCAAATGTATAAACTTGTTCAATTACCACTATAATCAAGATATAGAACATTTGCATTCCTCCTAAGAGTTACTTGATGCCTTTTTGCATTTAGTATTGGGTTGGCCAAAAACTTAGTTTAGTTTTTTCTGTACAATATCTTTAGTAGTGCTTAGTTGTCTTTAATTTCATTTGCAACAATTTTGCTAGGTTGTATAGTGACAGCTGCATTTAAAAAACCGTATCAGAATTGGTGAATTTTCATGCAGCCATTGTAATATTGAAGGTGGAAGAAAATATGCAACATTTTTTGTACATTATGCTTTATTGTTTCAAGAAAGATAAAAACGCAACTAAAACACAAAAAAAGGATTTGTGCAGTATATGAAGAAGGTGCTGTGACTGATCGGAAGTGTCAAAAGTGGTCCATGAAATTTCTTAGTACTATTGACATTCTGGCCAAATACTTCTTCACTGTGAGGCTGTCTTGTCCATGGGAAGATGTTTAGCAGCACCCCTGGCCTCTACCTACTAGAAGCCAATAGCAGGAGATAGTCAACATCCTCAAAATATCCAAATCAATATAAAGTTATTGGTGAAAATGAAAAATGTGTCTTTTATTTCATGGAAAAAACTAAACAGGCTTTTTGGGCAACCCAGTATTCCCCGCTCCCACCCCGCCCTTGTATCAGGCAACCATTGATTATATGCGTGTGGTTGTCTAATGTAGGCTAGTCTGAGAAGTGAAGGATTTGAAAGTACAAGTAGAATTAATGTGGTGTTACAAGGCAAACCTTCCAGACAGAAGGTCATTTCCATCTTTAGAGTCTGACTGGTTCTCAAGGTTGTAGCCTCCTTGCTCCAAGTCATCACATCAAGGGGAAGAGCAGAGGGCAAAAGGCAGGTAGCCTGGGGCTGCTGTCCTTCTCTCTTCATCAAGAGAACAAGTACTTTCCAAATACTCCCACTTGTAACTCATTGGCCAGAATTTGTGCATGTGACTATTTGTAGCTGCAAGGAAGTCTGAGGAGATAAGTACTTTTAATTGAGCTTATTTTTCCACAAGAAACCAAGATCTGGTTAGTTAGGAAGAGGGTAAAAAACACATATTGAATAGAACCTGTAGAGTCATATTTTCAGGCTTTTTAAAAAGAAGCTTTCAGGTAGAGTTGTTTTCTAGTGTAGTCTTATTAACATGACAGATTTGTATAATGTAATGGTGCCGATGTATTCTAGGATAATTTTATGTATAACATTTATAATTCCCTTTTTATATTTCCTTCATCCTAAGTAAGAAACTAAATCAAACTAGAGTAATCCAGTTATGAATATAAAACTAAAATAAATGTGAAAAGGAAATTGACAATGTTAACTACTTTAGCAAAAGTAAAACTTTTTCCCTTTATGTACATAACCTACTATTTCAGACAGTGTTTTTTATATAATAACTGCAGTTGTTTGTTAAATTTGTCTGCATTTACTACTGTTTTTTCCTTTCAAATCTTTGCAGATTTGAAGTTGACAACCTTTTATTTTAACTGGTTATATAATCTATAGTAAGGGCACAGATCTCTCCCTTTGTTAGGATATGACCATATTTTCTCATCCGAATGGAGACACTTTGGGAAATGAAAAGGATGCCATTCATTATACTAAGTTGGAGCAATAACTATAAAGTGGGACTGTCCTAGGCAAATCAAGGTTTTTGGACTATCCTATGGTGGAATATAAAAAAATGATTCTGTATTCAGCAATGATGGAATCCTTTGTACTAGCATTTGACATTTTTTATGATTGTATTTATTAAATTTGTGGCTTACATTGTAGGTAGAGATTGAAACGTGGCCTTCTACAATCTTCCCCTCCTTAGTTTCCAGCCATCTCTCACTGTACATTCTCTCTTTGTCCCTTCCTGAACTGGTTCTCCACTTGGGTTAAGAGCAGTCACTAACCCCACACATCTCCAGTGCTTTCCCACTTCCGTGTCATTGTTCGTGTTATTACCCTGTTTAGAATATCCAAGCCATGTCCTCTGCTTGTTGAAATTTTACTTACTTGTTTAACCAACACATATTGAGTACCTGAAGGTACTGGGCGCTGGGGATACTAAAATCCATAATAAGCTGCAATATCTCCTTAAGGAGGTCATAGTTCACCGAGGGTGATAAGCAAGCAGTGGCATTTAGAGCGGTAAATGCTGAAATACAGAGTTTCAGTCCAAGGAGACAGAGAAGACTCCCGGAGAGATGGCACTGGAACGAAGCACTGAAAGATGAGCAGAGAGGAGGTGGGTGGGGGGCGTTCCAGGAGCTGCACCTGCGCCAGCGTTAGTGTCTTCTCCACTGGAAATCGATCCCTGTGCCTCTACGCCCACGTGAAAGGAGTACTCCAGCTGATGAACTTCATACTTTGAACCTTTAATGAGCATTTCCTTAAGCTTGTCTTAATTGTAAACCAATTTAGATTTAGTTTGTCTAAAATTGTAAGTTACGTTGTTTCTACTAAATTAAAACCTCCTTAAGGATAGGGGAATTTTCTCATTTGCACTTTACTCACTCCTTTGCCATAGCAGTTACTTAATGGATGTTTGTTGAATTTAAAAACTGGTGCTGATTACTGTGAGAAAAAGAAAACAGCTGATGGAGAAATAGGCCTCTATTCTAGCCGTTGCCATAGCTACGTTATTCAGAATAATAACAGCAACTAACATTTACTGGATGTTTTGTGTGCACTGGGCACTGTGCTAAGTCTTCAGCTTACTTAATCCTCATCACAGCCCTTGCTATTTTTATTTCCATTTTACAAATGGCGAATCTATGGAATTGGAGAGGTTGGATAGGTCATAGAACTTACAAGTGGAGTCAAGAGTTAAGCCTGAGTCTGACTCCAGAGACCAACGAGCTGTGTGACATTAGCTCCCCTGCTTTTACAAAGGATGTTACATCTGCACCTCAGCTGGTGTAACGGGGTAGAATCTACAAATAGCGGTGGCCACAGTAATAAAGGCAGTGAACACTGGAGTCCTTAATGTGGATCTTTTTTAAATTTTTATTTTCTATTTTTTTATATTTTCCCGTTTATTGACTTTATTGATGTGACACTGGTTGACACAATTGCACAGCCATTCCACAACTCATCATCTGTACACCAGGTTGCGTGCTCACCGCCCAAACTGTTCTAAGACCTTTACATTTATTACCTCATGTAATCCTCACAACCATTCTAAGAGGCAGACACTTTTATTTTCATTTTACAGAGGAAGAAACAGAGGTATAGGCACATTAAGTAACATGAGCAAGGTCACACAGCTGGTAAGTAGTGAAACTGAGACTCCCATCCAGGAGAGGTGGCTCCAGAGCCACTGGTTTTAACCACGCTGCAAAGTTGCTTCTGTTTCTGTGCTATGGGGTAATACAATTCCCTCATTACCTTTCATTGAATAATACTTCTGTGAGCAGGTGTCAATAATTTATAGATTTTTTAAATCCCCCATGTTTTTCCACATGTTTCCAGTGAATTAAACAACTTTTAACACTGGTAGTTAGATGGTTAGACAGAAAGGAAAGAGAGGACCACAAAGCTTTCATCATAATCTTCTTGCTCCATGACTTACTGTGACCTCATCTCTGTGAGTCTCGGGTGCTGGGTCTGTTGGGAGGATGGAATGGGTCAATATGTACAGGATGCATAGCAGAGCACCCGGCACACGGAGGGCTTTCCGTAGTGATTAGGAATGCCTCCACTCCCTGTGCAGTCAGTGGAGTTCACTGTGGCAGGCCTGGAAAACAATGCAAGAGAACTGGAAAAGTTCATGTAGTGCCTGATGCCTGAGTGCATACTTTATTCCTAGCGAATTATTAAATTTGGCTTTACTGGATAATTATTAGGTTTAATATAGTGTCCTGCATAGCTCAAATGGTATATTGTTGTCATGTGTAATGAGTAAAAAGTGGTTTCAGGTATTTTGCATTTGGGGGATGGATATTTTTCTTTTAAGAAACATAGAAGGTTGGAGCTAGAGGAAAACTTACGTGTCATGTAGTCTAGGGGTTCCCAACTGGAGAAGCTGCTGCAGTCATCTGCATTCTCCAGTCCTGTCTGCACAGACACTGATTAGATAGACGGGCTAGCTCTGGCAAATTTTTAACAAAGCATGCACTTGAGTGGGTCACGCAGCATTTGGCCACCCCTTTTATACATCAGCAAACTAAGGCTGGGCTCACACAGCGTTAGAAAGAAGACCTGGTGTAAATAGTTAACAGTTGCATCTTTTTGGGATGTGTATTCATTGGTTAATTCAACAAGCCCTGCTGTATGGAGGAGCTGTTTTGTGAGAACAAAATCCTTAATTGTACCCAGTCCCAAATTTTTAATGGGAGAGCTAAGATAAAACCACAAAGTGATATTTTAGAAAAGCACTTGCAAGGAGTTAGAAGCAAGAATTCACTTCTGCCTCTGCCGTCTATTAGTTCTGTTCCCTGAGCCGTTCATTGAATCGCTGAGCTTCAGTTTGTCACTTGGAAAAACAGAGGTAATATTAGCCTTTCCCACCTTTAGGGTAAATAAAAATATGTGATACCTCTTGAAAAATGGTCAAGTTAGATTTAGAAAGCATATAAAAAGTAGTTATGTATTCAACATTTTAATTAATAAGTCAGGCTCTGGAGTTTACTGACATAGTCCTGCCCTTAAACCCTGCTAGGAGAGACAAACATAAATATTAGTATAAAGTGAAAAATGGTATTTTAGAGATTATATACAAAGTACTTTGGAGCATGACTGCGGGGATGCCTGGAGAGTCAGGAAAGTTTCTTAGAGGCGGTAAAATTTGGTCCGGGCCTTGAAGGGATGAGAGGCTTGCCTGCGAAGGGAGAGTGGTGAGAACAGAAACGGGGGGGTCACACTAGTGGGGCGTGATTTGAGGGGACATGGTGTCCTTTGTTCTCAGACCATGCATTGCAGTTGGGAAGGCGAGGCCTGGGAAGGCGAGACCGGGCTGTGCTCTGAAGGTCTCTGTGCCAGGAACTGGAGTATTATCACACAGGGAAAGGAGGTTGGAAGCATGAATGACTTGATTGGGGAACTTTTAGGTAGATAGTTATAGCTTTTTCTGGAGAAAGACTTGGAAGGATGACTAGAAGTTGTCATTGTTCCTGCTTCCTTTTATCAATGTTTTCTCTGTGCTACACTACACAGTGCTTTTTGCCTCTTAAAATTTTCTAAGGATCAGTCTTTAGTGGCAAAAGAAATTATTCTTATAGTACCTCAGTATTTCTGTTTCTCCCCAAAAGGATGTGTTCATTTTCAGTCACATAAGCAGGGTAAAAGCACTGTCTTCACCACATTAATAACGTTTGGTGCTACCTGTCTTAGCAGTTTGCTGTAATTCCATTTTTCTGATTATTAGGAAAGATATGTACATTTTTTCTCTGTGTTTTAGTATTAACTGCTGTGTAAATTTTAGTATTGATATTTTAATTACCTTTATCTTTCCATTTAATTCTTAATTCTCATATTTCTCAAGTAAAATTGTTAAGTCTTAAATAAGTAAACATTTAAGAGAGCATTGTTATTATTTTTACAAATAAATAAGCCTAATAATCTTTCTCACACTGAAATAAATGCACTGTTTTAATGTTTGCCTTCCCTGTGAAGGGTTAACAGGCTCCTTGGGCCAACGTCAATGTCGTGATCCCCGCTGTGGGTGCTGGGGGTTGTCCACACTCAAGAGCTAATGTCATGCTTTTAAAGAACAACTCATGAAGTTTGCGGTTTTCTTATTAAACATTGCTTATCTTAATGTTAAAATTGAATTACTCTTTAAAACTTCATAATGTTAAATTAGAGCTTCTATTGTATTTTGGGAGTAAATTTTTTAAATTAAAATTATAACATCATACATAGTCACTCTTGGAAAAGTCTTTAAATTTACAGCATCTGCATATTTTTCAAAAGCAATCTTTTCTGAAGTTATTCAAAGCAATTACTGTATTCTTACTGTCATAGCTTACTAAGTTCTTTATTAATATGGTATGGCTTTATTCTAAGCACTCATGGTCTGAATAAATTATTTCTTTTCCAAGGTGACCCATACATTTTGAGCTTTCTGATTCTAAAAGCTCCCTGTTTCTTTTTTGCAAGGGGGCCAAGTGAGGTAAGCATAAGATTTTAAAAGTACCACATGGTTCGGTCACATGTGTAAGCCAGGCATATTGGACCTCTTGCTACTGTAGAGCATGGGTCCCTAGCTTACGGCGTGCCTAAAACTTTAGCAGGCCTCTTCTCCTTAATTAGCTGGCACACGTTAGTGAGCTGGAAGGGCCTGGCCCCTGGCCTGCGGTTACCATTTTGTATCATTGCGAGTGCATATGTTCTTTTGGCAGGCTTGAGGTAACTAGGAATTTTATTTGAAGCTCGATTTAATTATATAAATTTGACCTGGTTAAATTTGAGGAAGGATTATTTTAAAACACTAACTTTTGTACTTTAAAAGTAATAAATGCATACAGTAAAGAAAATTCAAAGTGGGAAAGTCTGCCTTCCAGCTCCTAGCCCTACCTGCAGATAAGCATTATTAACAGTTTCTTGAGTAAACTTCCAGAGGTTTCCTGTGCATACTGAACCATATCTATTCCCAGATACTATACGATATATCCCTTAAAAAATAGAAATGGCAGCAGTAATAGTACTATCCCATACCCTACTTTTTGACATAGTACTTCATGGACACCTTTCTGTGCCAGCACGCACAGCTGCACCGTTCTGTGTAACGAACCACAGTTAGGATGTTCTCATTCCTTTGCTGCCTCTGACAATGCCGCAGTGAAAATCCTTGTGTACACACGCACCTTTGTGTACTTCCTGTCTATTGGCTAAATTTGTAGGAAAGGAATTGCTGCATCAAAAGGGTAATGTCAAATCATTTTCCAAATTCGTATGCCAATTTAAAGGTCAAAAATGGGTGAAAAGTGCTAATTCCCCAGATTTGAAGAAGTATCGAAGAAGGATGAAATTGGGGTTGGATAAAGCTTCTAGATGCACTACACATGTCTACATTACAGAAGACACTCTTATTAATACTACATCCTCTCATTTGCTTGCGCACATATTTTCTTATAATGGACCCACAATGAAAGAAAATCAGTTACCTCAGCCAAAAAGGTGAAGGGCAGTCCTGGAGGAGGAAATGCTGTCCTTGGGGAATTGGTTGCAAAAATTAAATGAAATACTTTCGCATATTGATTATATATTTGTAAACTTTAAGGAACTATTAATATAAGCATTTATTTCCCTTTAGATTTTAGTCCTTGCAAATTAGGCTTTTTTCTTAAATGTCTGTGTCTCTACCTTTACCATCATAGCAACAAAGTCCTCTGCAGGCTTGGCGTGAATAGGCTGGCTTTTGTTAGGCAGCTGGAGTTTTGATGTTTTCAAAGTGCTAAACTATCTCAAACAGATGGAAAAAAAGCAATAGTTTGTGGCTCATATGTGTGTCTTCCTCTTATTTCCTGGCCATTTAATATTTAACATTTTATTTTCCCAATAATTTTAATGAACACCTATGTAATATATTCCACAGATTTCAATGGGACAGATGCTTCAGGATTTTGGAAAGTTCCTTGGGATGTTCCTTCTTGTTTTGTTTTCTTTCACAATTGGGTTGACACAGCTGTATGATAAAGGCTATACTTCAAAAGAACAGAAAGACTGCGTGGGCATCTTCTGTGAACAGCAAAGCAATGACACCTTCCACTCGTGAGTGTCTTTTAAAATTTTTAGTAAATATATTTCTCCCTATGGCAGCGATTTTCGGCCCTCTTCACCTCATGGCACACATAAACTAACTTCTAAAATTCTGTGGCACGCCTAAAAACCTACTACATTTTTTGTAGTGTGACAAAATATAGTAGGTATAATTCATTCACACCAGGCTGCTGTTGTTGTTTGGCAGTGGTCATTATTTTATTTGACAGTCGAAGGGAGAAGGGGTCAGCGCGCCTGACTGAAGAGTCAGGCATTTGCATGTCTGAAAAATTCCTATGGCACAGTGGCTGAAAATCACTGTTCTATTGTGCTATGTATGAATTAGTACCTACAGAAATAGAACTTCAAATTTTCCTTAAGAAATTCCTTTTAATAAGAAATACTTATTTTTGTGAGTCATTTGACAGTTATCTTTACATGTAGCATATGAAATACTTGGTAGGCCCGAGTTAGTCCACATTCTCCCCCGCTGCCGTCTGCTGAACCGTGGGGCCCTTGGCATTTGGTGCACGGCTGGCCTGTGGGGCGGGACAGTTCTTTGTCAGTTGTATGGACTGCAAGATGCTCAACACATCTGCTTCTCACCATTGTTACAACCAGAACAGTCTCTCATGTCCTTAACACTTGTTCAGAGGTTATTAGAATGGAGAATTATTAAAGCTTCATGAACAATTTTCCCCTCTAATTTACTGTTACAGTACATATATACCATAATTACATTGAGTAAGGAATTGAACAACCAATTGTGAGGCAGACAAAATACTGCCCCTCATTCTTAAATAAAGTAATGGAGAAGGGGTGTTGAATTGTATACTTGTTGTGTTCCCGTTATGTACCAACTATTCCTCAGTTACTTTCATGGCATCTTATTAAAGGAATAAGAGTAAATGAATAATAAATATTCACCTAACACCTTCTATATACCAAACACTGTTCCAAGTGCTGAGTTAATGAAGTATCAGGGAACAGAATGACCTCATGGAGCTTACATTCTACTGAGACGACACAGACAGTAAAAAGAAATAAAATAAGAGAACTCAAACATACAGTGTGGTCCACAGTGATAAGGGCTAAATTGATGAAACTTGGGCCGGGGGATGTGCGGGTGAGAGGGTGCAGTTTTAGGTGGGAGGTTAGGGAAGGCCCCGCAGGAGATGGCAGTCAAGTGCAGATGTACAGCTGGGGAAGGATCAAGCCGCGGAGGAGGTATCTGGGGGAAGAGCACTGGCAGATGGAGGAATGGCAAAGGCAAATGCCCTGAGACAGGGGTGTGTCATATTCGAGGAAAAGCCAGGAGGCCCGTGTGGATGTGATGTGGTGGATCCGAGGGAGAGTTGTAGGAGACGAAGTGGAAAGGTAAAGGGGATCCTGTAGCACCTTGCTGGGCTTTGTAAGGACTTGGGGCTGTTGAGATAGCCATTAGAAATTTTGTTCAGAGGAGTGACAAAATCTAATTAGGCATTAACAGGATCATAGACGCTGCTATGTTAAGAATGGACAGAAAGTCAGTAAGAAATCAAACAGGAATAATTTCCTTTTGAGTCTACTTTTTGTTTAAAGTAAGGCATATCTGTACTGTTGAGTTCACCTCATTTATTTTATAAAGTATTATTCTTGGATTATCAATGTTTTCTCTTTGTAATGTTGATATAAATGAATTCATTTTTGCTAGTTAATTTCTCTAATTTTCTTTTAAACAAAAAATGTAATCGTCTTTACAGGTTCATTGGCACTTGCTTTGCTTTGTTCTGGTATATTTTCTCCTTAGCACATGTGGCAATCTTTGTCACAAGATTTAACTACGGGGAGGAACTGCAGTCCTTCGTCGGCGCTGTTATTGTTGGGACGTACAACGTGGTGGTGGTGATCGTGCTCACCAAGCTGCTGGTGGCCATGCTTCACAAGAGCTTTCAGCTGATAGCAGTGAGTGTCCACTCTCCTAAACTGTATATGCTCTTCAGACCATGCCATGTGTGTGCAGTAGTAGATAAGGAAACCGAATAATACCATTAAGAATTAGTATCATTTTAAATTTATATTTTTAATGCAAGTAATATATATTAACAGCAAATCTTAAAACAAATTTTTACTACAAGATGTGTAAACATTTGGACAGTTTAAAATGATCTCTCTTTTTCTTTCCTACCCCGCATGTGTGAGGGGGAACCCAAAAAATCCTGGAATTTATTTATGAAAAATTGTGTATTTATTTTTACATGGTTAAACTTCAGTCACCTTCAAAGTACTCTCCATTTGATGCAATACACCTATTGAGACAATTTTTCCACTGCTCAAAACAGTTTTTGAACTTACAGATTTTGATGCCTCTTAGTGCTTCTGTTATTTTTTGTTTCACCTCTTCCACATCAGCAAAACATTTCCCTTTGAGGACTTTTTTCATCTAGGGAAACAAAAAAAAAAGTTGCTCAGGGCAAGATCAGGTGAATAGGGAGCATGGGACACGGAGGTCATGCTGTTTTTGGTTAAAAATTGCTCAACACTCAGTGGGATGTGGGCAAGTACAGTTGTAAATCAACCATCAGGAAACGGGCAACTATGCTGAAAGAATCTTCAAAAAAAAAATCACTGAAGCTGAATGCAGCCTCTCACAACAACGCCAGCTGGCACACTGATACAGATGGGTTTGTAGAACACTCACATAGCAGGAGAAGCCTGTACTATAAGGGGCCCACCCTCCAGAAGATAATTCTGGTTTTTTGGGGTCCCCCCTCATGAGTATGTACATGTGCTCCCTTGTTCATATCCTATGCTGCTTCTCATTTGCCTTTTATAGAATCATGAAGACAAAGAATGGAAGTTTGCTCGAGCAAAATTGTGGCTTAGCTACTTTGATGACAAGTGTACATTACCCCCACCTTTCAACATCATTCCTTCACCAAAGACTATCTGCTATATGATTAGTAGCCTCAGTAAATGGATTTGTTCTCATACATCGAAAGGCAAGGTTAAACGCCAAAATAGTTTAAAGGTAAGAGATTAAAACTGCAACACAGAAGTTTTAACAATTCCTAATTTTGAAGTTTCCTAAGGCATGAATGAGCAGGCTTCTTAAGGCCTGGGACAGATTTATTTTAAACTCCTGTATACATAATGCATGGCATAGGTATAACATAAAATAAGAAGTCAACAAAATTTACTTAGAATGAGAAATAGAGCTGCAGTATTTTTCATGAAATCTTGTCTCAGTTTTAAAACATTGAAAATATTCAGAATCCCTATTCTGTGAGCATGAAGATTGACTACTGTAGTCAGCTCATATTTTTATAGTTCTTCTTGAAAGTTACTCAATACATGAATAATTCAATACATGTTGCTATAAACCAGAAGTTGGCAAATTTTTTCTGTAAAGGGCCAGAAAGTAAATGACTTAAACTTTACAGGCTGAAACAAGATCAAAGATTTATATGAGTAGTAATATAACAGGAAAGAAAATAAATTTCTACTAAATTTTCATTAATGAAATTAATGAAAAGAATGAATTCCATTTTGGGAGGTGGATAACATTTTATTTAATTGGGGTTCAAAATTACTGTCCACCATCATCAAACTAATAACAAGTGTTCATCTGTAAAAACCATTCTGAGCCCACAGGCCATAAAAACCACGTAATGGATCAGTGTGACCTGTGGTTCATGGTCTGCTAATTCTTCCTATAAACTGAGGATTTGTACGACTTCTTTTGAATCAAAATAAGCACAAAGGTGAATGAATAAGACAAATATGCGTGCTATGTTTGATTGAAAAAACTGCTCAATGTTCTAACACAGTGGCAAAAGTGTAGTGTAATAAAGGAAGCATTGGAAGATAGGGGTTTGTATCTGTGAATATGTTTTAAATCCACCTCATTTAAACGTTGTGTATGCCCATTGTGTCATACTGTTGTTTGTTTTGAAGGAATGGAGAAATCTGAAACAGAAGAGAGACGAAAACTATCAGAAAGTGATGTGCTGCCTGGTGCACCGCTACCTGACCTCCATGAGGCAGAAGATGCAGAGCACGGACCAGGCGACTGTGGAGAACCTGAACGAGCTGCGCCAAGATCTGTCAAAATTCCGAAATGAAATACGGGACTTGCTTGGCTTTCGGACTTCTAAATATGCTATGTTTTATCCAAGAAACTAACCATTCTCTAAATTATGTAGAGAATAATTTTCAATAATAATGGTAAATCTGAAAGACTGTGTTTGTATAACTTGCACTGAGTCAATAAGCTATGTCTTGAAATAAAGAATTATGTAAAAGCCATTCTTTAAAATATTTATAGCATAAATCTGTTATGTAAAATATGTGTAGAATTAGTTTTTTAAAACCCTATGTTAGTGGCTTTTTGCAGAAGCAAAACAGATTAGTAGATAGAATTTGCAAGCATGCCGCTTGGTGTTCTAACCTGAACAGCGCTCTAACATGTTTTCTGTCTATGTTTAAGAAGGGCAGTTATGGTGAACGTTGCCGGAGGCTCTGTAGATGAAGACCGGTGAATGTGGGCTGATCTCTGTCTGTAGGAGAGATAACTTGAAATATTGAAGTCATGGTTTTTAAAATCTATTTTAGGACTTCACGTATATCATTTAAGAGTATAGTTTCATCTAAAACTAGTCTATTTTTTTATTTTATTATAATCCTAAGTAACAAAGAAACAAACTTAATGAATATTTGAACCTATTCATGTCTCTATAAATTTAAATTCACTTCAATTTCATTATTATTTGTTATTTATGTGGTTGTAATCACTAAATGTTTAATTTTGCTTTTTTTCCCTTTAATCCTATTTACATATACATTTCCATGTATTAATACAGTCCATGTATTTGATTTTTATAGAATTATATCATGTTTGAAAAACATAGTGAGTAGACTTTTTATTTGTAGCTATGAAGCATTGTTTATGTACTTCTCTAAGGTTAGGTATTTGGTGGTTTTTAACTTTTCTTTATCATAATAGTGCTATAATTTTTTTAAGTTGAGCAAATGTTCATAGTTATGAAGCTAACCCAAAATAAGGATTTAGAAGATATTTCTTTATCATGAGTGGTCACAGCCTATTTTATTTTTGTAAACATTGGAAGACCCTTTAATGCAAGGATTTCTTTTATATTTGGACTAAGGTTCTTGAGCTTTTCTCCTAAAGTATTTTCCTCAGAATTTAATATAGCTTCTATAAAAATGACTTCATTTTATTTGTGGATCATGCTTGCTACTTAAGCTGAAAAGAATTGATTTTTTAAAAAATTGTAGAATAAAGTATATTTAATTTTTTTCCTATGTTCATGCAAAGGATGTAGTTAAAATTTTTTCACTGGCCATTGTTTATATATTCTTGCAACATTTCCAGTTAATTGGTTACTAGATATATAATTACCTGATTAACTGAATGTCAGATGGTCTTAAGGCCACAGGGTTCAGGTAGCCCTTGCTCTGTAAGCACCACTGATCCAGGGGTCATTGTCTGAGGATGTTAGCATTGTGTTTCACCTTACTTTTTACTTTTTGCTTTTTCGTTCCCAAATTGTAAGTGTTCCCTCTTTGGGGCAAATTCTTGTAAAAATGTTTATTGTAAAGTTATATATTTTTGTCTACAGTGGGATTATGTACTTCCCAATAGGGCTTTTACATCAGGATTTTTAGTCATTCTAAAAAATAGCTAATTATTAAATAAAAATATTTATGGAGTGCCTACTGTGTGCATGGATTACTTATGAGGTACGTGTTGAATGACGGTATATTGTAAGGAGAAGGATAAATAAAACTTGACATTAGATTGTAAATTGACAGTCTGTTCACTATATATTACAGTATACTTTTTCTGAGATATAATTCATGTCATCAGCTTCACTCTTTTCAAATATACAACTCATGGTTTTGTTTCATTTTGCTTTTTAATCATGGTAAGAAAGGCCTAAAATGCAAAGATCAACTTCAGACCACTTTGTGCCCCTTCCTACCTCCAGTGGCAATTGCATGTAACTTTTTAAAATTTTACCCCTATATGTTATTAAAAGGACAAACATGAATTAAACTAGCTGCTCACCTGAATTACAGAAGTAACGTGATTCAACATGAAGATAAGAAACTGTGTACAGATCGCCGACAGTAATGAGCTGCAATATGCAGTGCATACAGGGGTCGTGCAGAGCAGCACACTCTTGTAAAATATATTCTAATAACTTTAAAGTCCAAATTTTTCTTTAAAATCATTCATAAAAAAGATTCTCAAGTGAGAATTAACACCTCAGTCAAGCATCAGAGGCTGCACTGCAGCTATTTAGTGTACAGAGAGACACCCTTTCACCAGCCATTTCCTTCCACTGTCTTTGCTTCTCTGTGCGTGCCACTCCATCATTTCTTCAGATCCTGGAAACTGAATTTGTTGGACACCTGAAATCTGCTATGATGTTGTGTAAATGTAAATTTTGTTGGCCATCTGCAGTTATGAAGCCCGCTGGTAACTGGGTTAGTAAATGCTCCTCCGTTAGCTCTTCATTAGTGCATCTACGCTGTGACCCTTCTACTCACTCCTTTCTCTCCTTTCACAGCCTCTGATTTTCTGACAGTATCATGTTAAAGGTTCTCCATGACTATCAAAGCCTAAGGTAGACAAGGCAAAGAGAATACCTTCCCCACTGATCGCCTTCCATTTCCCTTGATGGCATCTTTCACTTGCTTCAGCTGTTATAAAGCTGATGCATTCACATGCATCTTTTGCAATCTTTTCTGTTTGCAATGTGGCATTTTTCATTATCCTTGCTACATTTGCAATTGGAAAACCAGTACCTTGTTTTCTGAAACTTCCTTTTGAACAATTTGTGTCCTGGTCATTCACGCTGCCAGCAGTACCATAGTGAGGCTGTATATAACATGGCTTCCTCCAACATGGTCCGCAGAAATTCCTAGTTGAGAAGCATCTGTTGAGAACTGTAACCACCCACTGGCATGAAATACTGTCAGGACCCTGTTGTCAGTGGTGTTCAAGAGCACCCATCTAAAACGATATCTAATCTTTGCCCAATTTGAACTTCCAGTGCAGCCCTGGGTGGCTTCCATCTCCGATCAGCTGTTTGGTTGATCAGAAAAATCCATATTTAACATTTTTAGCTATTATTATTTTTATAAATACCATATTTTGACATAATTTGTTCTCACAAGACTTGTATGTGAATCTCACCCCAAACTAAAAATGAAATGTCCTTCAACTAAGCGAATGAACAAGTTGTACATCTATCCAATGGAAATCTCAGTAATAAAAGGGAATCAAGTCAGTCAGTCAAGCAGAGAAACAGAACGCCTAGGATATTTGTCTGCACCATGTGTGACGTGCAGTGATTTGTCTGCAGGGATTTACCATTACACCATTGGAACTGGTGAAGCGCTCTCCGTGAGGCTGTTTCTGCATTGAGTGCCAGAACTTGGAGTTCATAGGGTAGGCAGTCGGGGGAGGAAGGCCCATTTAAAGTGGAAGAGACAAGGACAAACTGAAGCCCAGCAGGACACACTTCTCACTGTCTCTAACCTTGAGGACATGGGTATCTGGTAGGAAAAGTTGCCTTTTGCCAGGTTGCAAAACACACACGTGGCCCAGGAATCAGAGAAGCTGAAGGAGGGTCCAAGGCAAAGTGGAACACTGCGGGCCAGGCTGCTCGTCAGCAGACTGAGCCAACAGGTAAGTTACACGTATCATCTGCAAGAGTGCTCCCGCAAAAAAAAAAAAAGATGGCTGCCGCTCCCCTTCTGCCCTCCAAACTTCACCCGAACCGCTCTTGCTGCCCACCCGACTGGAAACGTACAAGGAAGAGAATCCTGGGAGACATAATTCAGCCTCGCCAAGTAGACACAGGAAAAACTGATACCGCAACAGATAAATGTTAAAGACATTATGCTAAGTGGGGAAGCTTGTCACAAAAGGCTACATACTATATGATTCCATTAATATGACATTCTAGAAAAGATGAAACTATAGAAACAGAAATCAGATCATTGGTTACCAGGATCTGGTGGGAGAAGATTGGTTGCATAACTCATCAAACTGTACACTTAAAAAGGGTGCATTTTAATATATAGAAATTACACTTCAACAAACCTGACAAAAATACATACTGCAACAACATACTAAAATAAGAAAATAACTGGAATCTTAAAATTCATTGTTATCCCAGCCCTGGCAGGTGTGGCTCAATAGATTGAGAAACGGCCTGTGAATCAAAAGGTTGCTGGTTCCATTCCCGGGCAGGGCACATGCCTGTGCTGTGGGTCAAGTCCTCAGATGGGAGCGTGTGAGAGGCAACCCGATGATGCTTCTCTCACACATCGATGTTTCTCTCCCTCTCTTTATCCCTCCCTTCCCCTCTCTCTAAATAAAAGTAAAATTAAAAAAATTATTAACACTCTAAAAGAAAACTGCTAGAATATGAAAGTTGGTTACCCATCACTAGCATGACAAAGTGGGTAATGCCCAGGTAAGAATTTTGTATTATTTTCTCAAAATTATTTTGGCATTCTAGCTTCCTTTTCATATGCATTTTGGGATCTTCCTATCAATTTCTCAAAAAAAAAAAAAAGAAAGAAAACCTTGTTGGGATTTTTATTGGAACTGTATTGAAATTGAAATTTTTGTTTGCCTCAGAAAGTACATTTATACTATCAAGTAGGCTGAGGTTATGGGCACTGGAAGTAAAATCAGTTGGGTCTAATGATTAAGAATTACACCAAGTATTAATGGTACCAAGGATAATGGCTGCTGTGAATTTCTCAATTGTAAGCTAATTGGTCTGCTTTTCTGGTATCACTGCCCCATTCGTACACATGTTGTTTTTTGAAGATGTACCGTATTTTGTTGTGTATAATGCGCACCCATGCTTTGGGCCCAAACTTTTAGGGAAAAAATCTTCCATTCATTGTTTTAATTCAATTACTTACTTACTTATATTTAGATACTTATTTTTGTGTTATGAGAGAATTTTAGCATTTATTTTTGAACATATGGTACAAGAAGTTTTATGTAACAAATAATTACACAAGGTATTTCAGGTACTACCTATGTATAATGCGTATCCTCATTTTTCCTCAAAAAATTTGGGCAAAAATTGTGCACTATACATGGCAAAATACGGTACTCAGAAGACTTGCCAATTACAGCGTTTCCCTTCATTTGATCATTTCACATGTGTTTTCCTTCTCCCCCTACTCCCAGTTTGAGATAAATATTTAAGATATGCAAGTGAAATAAGCCAGGTGGTGAGGGGCAAATACCATATGATCTCACCTTTAACCGGAACATAACTAACAAAAGAAAAAAAGCAAACAAAATATAACCAGAGTCATTGAAATTAAGAACAACCTAACAATAGCCAGGGGGGATTGGGGAGGGACAATTGGGAGAAGGGTTTTCAGGAACTGCTATAAAGGACACCTGGACAAAACAAGGGGGAGGGTGGAAGCAAAGGAGGGAGGTGGGTTTGGATGGGGTGGGGGAGGGAGTGGGGAGAAAAGGCAGACACCTGTAATTGAACAACAATAAAATAATTTTTTTAAAAAAGATATGCAACTCAAAATTAGTAAGGAAAAATTTTATGTGCTAATTACATGCTTTGTAAATAACCATCTTTAATAAACATGATTTCTGATTAAATTAAATTACAGTAATAAAAGAGGCAAAAGAGCAGGTTTATATCAGAGGTAAATGAATGTTTAAAAAAAGAACTGTTTCAGCCAATCAGATAAATGCCAGGTAAGCTCCATTTTTCTCCATCCTGCTACTAGCAATCTAGAAGTTCCTTTCTTAGTGTGTCTCTGTGTGTTCCTCTTCATTAGAAAGGCCGCTCTATGAATTAAGCTTCAAAAGTTTGTCCTTGGACTAGGATACACACACACACACACACACACACACACACACACACACATATTACAAACTTGTGAAACTATTAGTTCTAACCACTTACCTGCAGGTTACCTTCAGTTTTTGTATTTGAATAATCATATCATCTTTACGTTATAATAGTATTATTTCTTCCTGTCTAATAGCACTTCTTTTTCTTGCCTTATTACACTGACTAGAGTTTACTGTAAAATTTTTAATAGAAATGTTGATTTCAGGCATTGTCTTCCCTGATCTTAAAGAAAATGCTTTCAATATTTCTCCATTATGTATGAGATTTGCTGCAGGTTTCTTGTCAGTTTAAGGAAGTTCCTTTCTATTCATAGTTTGCTCAGGGTTTACTTTGTTGTGAATAAGTGTTGAGTTATATCAAATGATTTTATGTATTATTAAGAGCAAGTGATTTTTCTTCTTTATTGTGAATAGGGCTTAACAGAACCCTTCCCCATGCTTTTAAGTGTTGACCTTTGTTTAACTCACCCACTAATATGATAATCCAGAGTGTTGCTAGGCAAACTTGCTTATGGTAAAAATTGACCCTGATTGGTAAATTGCATTGGATTGGGTGGGATTATCATTGAACTCTAAAAAGGTGGTAGGGGAGTCATAGATTTGGGCTTTTCTGAGTGTGTACCACTTATAACTAGGACGTCATCTGTGAGGAGTCTGGAAGTTACGCCTGTGGAATTCTTACAAGGGGTAACTGGTGTTGAGGAGATGCGACCTTTAAGCTGGAGTGTTTGCACCCACCAGACGTGAATCTGAGCCATCACCTGGGGAGGCCACAGAAAACACAGCGGCAATGGCTGGTCGAACTGCTGCCGGGCTGCTGTGAAGGCCCCACAGGAGAAGCAAGTCTGACACGGTCCTGTTAAGGTCTGGTCCCTGTGCTGGAACTTTCTGCCGACATCAGTACCAAGGGGCTATGGTGCTCTATGAGTCTGAATGGTTGCACACTCCCTACTTGGCATTGCAAATCTAGTAATGCAGTGAAGTATGATCATATCATTCATTTTCTAATGCTAAATCAGTCGTGTTTCTGGGATGAATCCAAATGGATTATGATCTATTTTGCTTGCTGGATTTTGTTTGACAATATTTTGTTGAGGGTTTCTGCAGCTACATTCATGCATAAAATCAGACTGATTGTGTTCCTAGATCCTATCGTCTGCTCAAGTTTTGAGGGGATTAAGAAGTACAAATAGGTAGTTACAGAGTAGCCGTGGGGATGTGAAGGACAGTACAGGAAATGGAGTTGCCGAAGAACTTATGTGCATGACTCATGGACATGAACAAAGTTCAGGGGGTTGCCTGAGCGAGTGGGGGGTGCTGGGTGGAGGAGGGAAAAAAGGGAAAAATCAGGACAACTGTACCAGCCTAATCAATAAAATACAATTTAAAAGAGATTATATTAGTCAGATAGAAAAATTGGAGAGTGTTACTTCTTTATTTATACTCTGGGGTAGTGTAAGTTAGACCGGCACTGTTTGGCCCTTAGATGTTTGGTAGAGTCTCTCTGGGCCTGGAGTTTCATTTGAAGAAAGATTTTAAGCACTGAATGAATTTCTTCAACGGTTATAGGACTATGTGAGTATTCGATTTCTACTCGAGTCTGAGTTCATAAATTCCCCCACGTAGGTATTTGTCCATTTTACCTCCGCTTTCTAATCTACTGACACGAAGTGGTTCGGGATATCCTCTCACTACCTTTCTGGATTCTGTAACACCTGTAGGTAGTTTCCCTTTTCAGTCCTAAATTGTTTTATTGTCCTTTTTCACTTCTTTTCTTGCTTAATTTTGTCAGTTTTGTCAACTATATTAGTCATTTTAGAGAACTGATATTTGGCTTTATTAATTTTCTCTGTTATAATTACTATTTTACTTGATTTCTGCTCTTACGCTTATTTCCTTGTACCTTTTAATAGTTTGAGGTGGTGAGCCACCTGCTCTGACTGCGTGGCTCACGTGGTTGGAGTGTCATCCTGTCCACCAGAATGTTATGGGTTTGATCTCCAGTCGGGGCAGTTACCTAGGATGCAGGTTCAATCCCTGGTTGGGGTGTGTGTGGGAGGCCACCAACGAATGTTTCTTTCGCACATCCATATTTCTCTCTCCCTTCCTTCCTTTTTCTCTAAAATCAATGAATATATCCTCAGGTGGAGATTTAAAAAAGGAAACAATAAAAAATTGTTTTGAGTTTATTCTGTTGTTCTTTTCCTTACTTCCTAATTTGTATCACTCACAAATTATTTTTCACTTTTTAAAATAATGTAGACATGTAAGTTTATAAATTTTAAGGTGTAACTTAAGCTACATTCTGCATAATTAAAAATTTGAAAGTTAGCAATTTTATTATTGTTTTGTTTTTAATATTTTTCTACTATCCATTATAATTTTCTTTTGATCGTGAATCATTTAATAGCACATTTGTCAATTGCCAACATCAGGCTTTTAAATTTTTTTTACTGTTATTTAATTTTTGTTCTTAATGTCTAATTATGCATTGTTGTTGAAAGAATGTTTGACATTTGTTGAGGTTTGTCTCATGGTGCAGTAAATGGGCGAGTTTGTGAAATTTTTCCATACTGAGATTAGAAATGTGCTTTTGGTTTGTTCTATATGTACTCATCTAGTTAACTGTGTTGTTCAAATCTTCTATATCTTTAATGTTTTTTCTTTTAAATCTGCCAGTTACTAAGAAAAAATGTGTTAAAATTTTTCCTACTGAGAGTTTTCCATTTATACCATACCAGATTTAGTTACATATTTTGAAAGATGTTACTAGCTGCATGCAAACTTTAGAATCGTTATTGTTATTAAAACCCTTCTCATCTTGAGTAATGCCTTAGAGTCTATTTTCCTAATATTAATAAAACCACAATAGTTATGTTAATATTTTTCTGGTATAGTTATCTTTTTCCATCCTTTTCTTCTTAATTTTTCTGTGTCCTTATGTTTTAGATATGTTTCAAGTAACACATACTCAGATTTTCACCCCAAAGAATATTTCCCTTGTTTCTAAAACTTTGCTTCTACTATGGGAGACCTTGTGACCCGAGTCTTTGTTCATCCCTAATGTCTTTTCCATCTTCTTTGGGTAGGGATGGCTGTCCCCTTTTCTGAAGTTCCTGGCCGGCGACCCCAGTGCTGGCCACACCCATGGTAGGCAGAGGGCATTTTAAGCAGCACTGTGCAAATGATGGAGAGCCCTTCCACAGTTCTTCCACTGCTGAGTGAAACTGGGTTTTTCAAAGGCAGAGAGCATCCTTAGTGACAGCCTCATCTAGTTAACTGGGACTGTGCAGGAGAGGGGTGTCAGACTCACTTCTAATTTCAAGTCCTATAATACGAGCAATCATGATTTAGGCTAGGAAAACAAGGACTGAACTCTGTAAATCAGGATAACAGGGCTTTCCTCTGGGCAGTGAGGGTGTCTTCCAGTGGTGGTGAAGGCACTGGGTTTGCCATGATGAATTCCAAGCCAATCACCTGCTCTGTCTCATGAGAAGTATGTGTTTGGCCAAGTCACTAAATATACCGGAGTTTCAATGTCTATTACAAAACAGAAACTGAAGTTGAATTAGATCCCTGAGGGACACCACTTAGGCACTAACATTTTCTGGTTCTGCAGAGAATAATTATAGTCTGTTTACATTACTGGATTCAGCCAGTTCCCGGAGTTCTCAGAATGTTAAGTCTTTTAGCCAAGTATAGATTGTTACAAAGACAGCCTTCTGTGTAAATAGCAGGGGATATTCTTTTTTACAGACCCCACTTTATATAAAAGCCATTCAATGGCTGTTGTATAATCATTTAAAAATATTTTATTAAGCACTGATTTAAAAAATGCAAGAAAAGAATATAACACCTTAGAACAAATATTGCACTTATCTCTTCTTTTACATCTTCACAAAACTCATTTCTAAAGTCCCCTTCTACAGAGATGTATAAATAAACTGCTTCCAAACGGTCAACTCCTGAACCATCAGTTTCCTGGGACCACACTGAGACGCCTGCTTCTCCGGGCGTGGGCGCAGAACTTCCATCAGCGAAACAGGAGGCCTCGCCCCTACATTGTGTGAAGAGTAAATCTTTCTGAATGCTCAATATTTAATATAAGACTTTTTTCTACTGAAAAAATAGATCTCTCAAAGGCAATGACAGAATGAAGCTTCAACTGATGCAGTTCTCTGTTAACATCGCTTGTTTTCCAAGGCATTAAGGAGCTTTTGATTCTTGGTCTTGAACATCATGACAAAGCTGTTTGGCATGATTTTGGCTTGCCCATCTTCACCCACTTGGCCCATAATAATGTAATTTTGACCTAAAAAAGAGAATATAAATTAACTTTTTCTACGTGTGCTTATTTGAAACAACAGTTATCTCTAGATAACTGTTCTGTAAATACCAGTTACACATTTATTCTATCTAGGATAAGATCTGCTTTAAGACTCTCATCAGACAGCCTCCAGTCAAGATGGCAGCATAGGTAAACACAGCTCACCTCCTCACACAACCACATCAAAATTACAATTAAACTGCAAAACCACAGTCATGCAGAACCACCAGAAACAGAGCTGAATGGCAGTCCTATGCCTATGGAACTAAAAAAGAAACCACATTGAGACTGGTAGGAGGGGTGGAGACATGGAATGGGCTGGTCTCACACCCACATGTGCTGGATAAAAATCAGGAGTAAGATCTCAGGAGCCAGGGATCCCAGCCCTACACCAGGCCCCCCAACCCAGGATTCCTGTGCCAGGAAGATAGGTCCCTATAACTCCTGGCTGTAAAAGTCAGCGGGGATTGAGGCTGTGGAAGACACAAACTTTTGGAGTCCCGTGAAATTCCTCTTAAAGGGCCTATACACAGACTTATTCAGACATACTCCCTCTGAGTTCCAGCCTGGGGCAGCAGCTTGAAAGGTACCCAAGACATACTCGGAGAAACTGAAACGTCTAGCACCAGAGTGAGAGCTAGGGGCCAGCTTTCTCCCAGACAGAAAAGCTGCCAGAGGACATTGTTTCTTTTCTGAGTCCTCCCCCAACAGAGCCAGCAGGTGGGTGCCATATCTGAGTCTCCACCAACCTGGCTCACCTGTTCATCTCACCCCTAGTGATTTCCTGAGGTTTCACCCTACCCAACTTTGGGGTTCACCCAAGCTATTTCCAGTGACTTTCCCACATGAATCGCTTCTCTGGCTCATGCTTCAGATTTTCCTAAATTCTCTCAAACAAGAGGTATTTATCCTCAGTGAGCCTGTACCTCTTACTAAGTGGCTGTAGACCCAGCACTAGCAACAGCTGGCCTTAGTAAACAACTTGGCCTTCCTGGACTCCTCCAAGCCCAGCATAAGTAGCAGCCTTCTGCAAGTCACTCTGTAGCTTATGCCAGGTGGTCTCAGACAGAACACAGGTGGTGGCTGACCTTGGACGTGCCAACAGCAATCAAAGCTCAACTACAAGAGAAGAATATACATAGCCCACTTGGTGGGTACACCTTGAGTACCCAGCTTTGGTCATAGGCAAGGCTGTGCCACTGGACCCTACAGAACACCTGTTAAATTAGTCCACTCTGCCAAGCTTGGAAGACATAGAAGCTCTATCTAAAACACAGAAACAAACACAGAAAGGCTGCCAAAATGACGAAACAAAGAAACATGGTCCAAATGAAAGAACAGAACACAACTCTAGAAAAAAACTAAACAAAATGGAGAAGAGCACTCTACCAAAGTTCAAAACACTGGTTAAAAGCTGCTCAAGAAACTTAGTGGGAATTTCCACAGCATAAAAAAAATCCAGTCAGAAACAGAGGATACACTAATTGAAATAAAGAACAATTAACAGGGAATCAATAGTAGAGTGGATGAAGCCAAGAATCAAATCAGCAATTTGGAATAAAAGGAAGCAAAAAAATACCCAATCAGAAGAGCAAGAAGAAAAAGAATCCAAAAATATCAGGATAGTGTAAGGAGTCTCTGGGACAACTTCAAACATACCAATATTCACACCATGGGGGTTCCAGAAGGAGAAGAGAGCAAGAAATTGGAAATCTATTTGAAAAAGTAATGACAGAAAATTTCCCTAATTTGGTGAAGAACATAGACATACAAGTCCAGGAAGTACAGAGAATCCCAAACAAGATGAACTTAAAGAGGCCCACTCCAAGACACATCATAATTAAAATGCCAAAGTTTAAAGACAAAAAGAGAATCTTAAAAGCCACAAGAGAAAAGCAGTTAGTTATCTATACAGGAGCTCCCATAGATATCCAGCTGATTTCTCAAAAGAAACTTTGCAGGCTAGAGGAGATTGGCAAGAAATGTTTAAAGTGATGAAAAGCAAGGACCTACAACCAAGACTACTCTACCCAGCAGAGCTATCATTTAGAATTGAAGACAGATAAAGAGTTTCTCAGACAAGAAAAAGCTAAAGGAGTTCATCACCACCAAAGCAATTATTATATGAAATGTTAAAGCATCTTTTTCATGAAGATCAAAAATATGAACATTAAAATGGCAATAAATATATATTATCAACAATTGAATCTAAAAAAAAACAAAATAAACAAACAAGCAAAACAGAAACAGAAATTGCAGTTACAGAGAACATTTTGTTGATTGCCAGATGGGAAGGGTGAGGGGTATGGACAAAACAAGTGAAAGGATTAAGTACAAATTGGTTATTACAGAATAGTCATAAGGACGTAAAGTACAGCCTAGGGAATGTAATAGCCAAAGAACACATATACATGAGCCATGGACGTGGGCAATGATGTGGGGATTGCATGAGGGTGTGGGGGGATGAGGGGAGGGGCAAAGGGGGAAAAATTGGGATAACTGTAATAGTATAAATAATAAAATAGTTAAAAAATACTATCATCAGCAAAAATCTAAATGTAACTGAGTAGCATGTTCCAGGTATGCTAACACTAGCAGACTAGACAGAGTGCTTAGACCCAGGCATGTCCTGCTCTGCAGTGCTGTAGGTCTTGTGTCCTTAGTGAGCGTCTACCAAGAAAAGTGCCCCATGTTCATGTGAATGGCTCTCATTCCTCAAGTGCTCCCCAACATGGCATCCTCAGGTGGCCTCTCAGAGTCCCACTGTGCTCCTGGATTTTCCAGGCATTTGATGACAAATGACCCACTGTCTTCAGCTGTTGTCTTGAACTTTTTCCAACATCAAACCATCTATACTAAGTAAGTTTCTTCAGGGCATGGTTGGCTCATATACTTCTTTGAATCATTGTGGTCTCTTGCAGAAAATAGGCATTAAAAAGTTACTTCTATCCGTTATTCATTTTTTTAATTATATTAATGTGTTTGGCTAAGTTAGGCTTAGGGTGGAGCTTATGCTGTGGTAAGGTGGGTTCAACTCTGAAGATTCATGTTGCCTCAGAAAAATGTATTTTATTGCTTTTGCTATTATAGTTATTCCATTTTTTCTCCCCTTGATTCCCCTCCATCCTGTACCCCTCTCCCACCATCCTTCCCCCACCTTAGTTCACGTCCATGGGTCATACATATAAGTTCTTTGGCTTCTCCATTTCCCACACTATTCTTAACCTCCCCCTGTCTATTTTGTACCTTCATTGATGCTTCTTATTCCCTGTACCTTTTCCCCCATTCTCCTTCCTCCCCCTCCCCACTGATAACCCTCCATGTGATCTCTATTTCTGTGAATCTGTTTCTGTTTTAGTTGTTTGCTTAGTTCATTTTTGTTTTTGTTCTTTAAGGTTCATTTGTTGATTGTTGTGAGTTTGTTCTCATTTTACTGATTGTATTTTGATCTTCTCTTTCTTAGGTAAGTCATAAAGGAAGTGCATATTGTGACCTCCTTTTTTCTCCCTCTTCCCCAGTGCATCCACGGAGGAACATGTGATTCCCTTTTCTCTTGCATAACCCTTCCTCTATGGGCTGAAAATGTCATCACAGAGGTCCTAAGCCCAGGAAAGCTTGCCAGGCGGGGCCAGCACTGCCACCTCAAGGCTAGTATCATTATGAGATCTTAAAGTATTTAGATGTGCTTTATTTGCCATTCCTGGAAGTCCTAGAGAGAAGTGTTATCTTTTATAGAGCTTTTGCTGTTTCCTCTGAAAAATCAATGTGAGACCGCTGGCTTCCTGACTGTTCTGAACAAGGTGAGTTCACAGTAAAGCTTTCTTGATGTGAATATTCTGTATTCCGTGCTCCCTCCCTCCCTCATTTGTTCTGTTTTTGGTTTTGTAACAAGTCTGCGGGAAGGAATGAGATTAAATTGGATAGAGAAATCATGGCACATCACACAGTAGGACAGCAGGCATTATTACCATTTCAAAGAGAGGGTTCCAGATTTGCTGTTTTTGGAAAGACATCAACACATATATCACACAGGGGAAAGTGGTGATAGAATATGTATAGTATGATTCTATTTCCTAAGTGTGTATATGGATAGAGACTTTCTGGAAGTTTTCATAGTATGTATAGGTTCGAAAGGGAAAGGGCTTCACATTTTATTTTATATCCTTCCCTACTTATTTAAACTTAAAGAAAAACACGGAACATATATTACTTTTATACGGTAAAGAGCTTGATTAAAAGTTGTGTGCCTCTGGCTCTGAGAGTAACTTTCCCTTTTCCATAATTTCTGTTAATAAACTCATTCCTATCTATGGGTTGACTGCTCCTATATCTGAAAATGATTCCCAAATCTTTAACTCTGCCCCATATGTGCCCCTTTCTCTTCTAAACTTGAGCTCTGAATAGCCTTTTCCTTGATGCATATTTTCCTCTAAATATAGTGTTGGTACCCTAAGTGCAATAATTGAACATTTTCTCCTGAACTGCTCCTCTGCGTCTGTTCCATATTGATCCAACTTCAAATGTTTCTTGGACTCATTCATCATTTCCACCACCTCATCCTTGTCTACATTACAAGAACTTGGATTAAAGCCCAATTCTGCTTGACTCCATGGCCTTCTTCTCTACCAGAACCCCTGAGTGGCTCAGAGAGGCTCTCTTATCCCCTCCTCTGCCCTGAGCTCCCCTACAACAAAGGCTCACGCTTTCCTCCACACTTACCTCTCCTGAGGAGAGGGCATTGCTTGCAGACCACGATGATCTTGGCACTCATGTTCTTGCCAGCCTGTTGAATTGCCAGGTTTCCCTCTTTATAGATGTTGATGAGTGAGACTGTGGCATGCAGACTTCCACCCCGAGGGGTCGTTGTAATGACGGTGCCAGCAATTACTGCAGAAGAAAATGTTTTGGAAATAATGTAACAGTGAAGGCAGATGTGAGCAGAACTGGAAATAATTTGATGTTTTTCTAAGTTTTAGATGGCAAACATTTTAATGTTAAAGAGAAGGCCCTAACATAGCTATCAAATTTGACTTTGTGTGCTTGTCACCAAAATTCAGGTTGAAGAAAGGAGCTGTGGAGCTGTCCCACTGCCCATGTTGTTGGGTGTGGAAACCTAGGAGAGAAACCTAAATAGCTGCTGCATCGTAGTCCAGTACTGAGTGCTGAGAAGGGGACTCTGAGATGTCTCATCCAACATGTGGGCCAATTACCACACAAGGGTATAGGCTTGTGAGCCCCTACCTGTGCATACTCAACAAGACCTTGAATCTTTTTGAAAAATATATTTTATTGATTATGCTATTACAGTTGTTCCATCTTTTTCTCCCCTTGATTCCCCTCCATCCTGTACCCCCCTCCCACCATCATTCCCCCACTTTAGTTCATGTTCATGGGTCATACATATAAGTGCTTTGGCTTCTCCATTTCCCACACTATTCTTAACCTCCCCCTGTCTATTTTGTACCTACCATTTATGCTTCTTATTCCCAGTACCTTTTCCCTCATTCTCCCCACGTCCCTTCCCCATTAATAAGCCTCCATGTGATCTCCATTTCTGTGAATCTATCCCTGTTCTAGTTGTTTGCTTAGTTTTTGTTTTTGTTGTCTTCCTTTTTTTTTAGGTTCATTTGTTGAGAGTTGTGAGTCTGTTGTTGTTTTGCTGTTTATAGTTTTTGATCTTCTTCAATTTCTTAGGTAAGTCCCTTTAACATTTCATATAATAAGGGTTTGGCAATGATTAATTCCTTTAACTTTACCTTATATGGGAAGCACTTTATCTGCCCTTCCATTCTAAATGATAGCTTTGCTGGAGAGTAATCTTGGATGTAGGTCCTTGCCTTCATGACTTTGAGTACTTCCTTCCAGCCCCTTCTTGCCTGCAAGGTTTCCACTGATAGATCAGCTGCGAGTCTTATGGGAACTCCTTTGTGGGTTACTGTCTCCTTTTTTCTTGCTGCTTTTAAGATTCTCCCTTATCTTTAATCTTGGATAACTTAATTATGATGTGCTTTGGTGTGTAATTCCTTGGGTCCAACTTCTTTGGGACTCTCTGAGCTTCCTGGACTTCCTGGAAGTCTATATCCTTTGCCAGTTTAGGGAAGTTCTCTTTCATTATGTTTTCAAATAAGTTTTGCTCTTTCTCTTGCTCTTTCTCTTCTTTTGGTACCCCTATTATTTGGACGTTAGAACATTTAAAGTTGTCCCACAACTTCCTAAGCCTCTCCTCATTTTTTCGAATTCTTGTTTCTTCATTCTATTTCGGTTAAATGTTTCTTTCTTTCTTCTGCTCCAAATTGTTGATCTGAGTCCTGGTTTCTGTCCCTTCTCTGTTGGTTCCCTGTACATTTTCCTTTATTTCACTTTTTATAGCCATGACTTTTTCCTCTATTTTGTGACCATACTCACCATATCTGTGAGCATCCTGATTACCAGTGTTTTGAACTCTGTGTCTGATATGTTGGCTATGTCTTCACTGCTTAGTTGTATTTTTTCTGGCATTCTGATCTGTTCTTCCATTTGGGCCATTTTTTGTCTTGTTGCACCTGTTACATATAAGGGGCGGAGCCTTAGGTGTTCACCAGGGCAAGGCAACCCAGTCGCAGGGTTGTGACGCTATATATGGGGGCGGATCCAAGAGGGAACAATGCCACTTGCTCCACTCTCTGTCTTATTTCAGTCCCCTCCCCCACTCTCCATAAGCAAATTGGGCCCTTCTGGTGCTGATTCCCTAGTGGGTGGGTTTGTGTTCATTCTAGGACCCTGCAGGTCTCTCCAACAAACTCTCCTGTGAGGCTGGGAGTTTCTCCCGCTGCCGCCTCAACCCCCACAGGTGTTTTCAATTGGTGTTTTGAGGCTTTATTTCCCTGAGTTAGGGCCCTGGGTTACGAGGTCTGTCTCGCTCCCCAGTTTTTCCTCCCGGTTTATCTGAACTCAAATGTGGGACCTCCCAGTCTGCAATCTGCCACTTCACTGGGTCCGCCGGCCGCTGCCTTGCCACGAGTCCTCTCCATCTGGCTGCCTGTTTCCGCCCCTCCTACCAGTCTGTATGAATATTTCTTCTTTAACTCCTTGGTTGTTGGACTTCCATACAGTTTGATTTTCTGGCAGTTCTGGTTGTTTTTTGTTTTTAAATTTGTTGTTGTCCTTCTTTTGGTTGTTTGAGGAGGCACAGTATATCTACCTATGCCTCCATCTTGGCTAGAAGTTCAAAGACCTTGAATCTTTAGAGGCAACACAATATGAGGGGGTTTGGGCCATGAAGATGGGTGGACGCCTACCTTTCTGGGTCTCCCCAGTCCCTCTCTTTAGCTGTCCTTTCTCCCAGAACTTTGGTTCATCCCATGGGTCCCCATCTCTCTCTGATTATCAGTAAATATCCATCTTTTGCTGAGTCTTTGATATTCTCTTTTTTATCTACCGTTTCTATCATTTACCAGGCCAAAATTGAAAACCGAGGCATAACAAAACATTTTCTTGCTTACAAAAAAAAAAAAACAACTCTAGCAAGATTCAGTTGCTTTTCATTATGTAATTCTCATTCTTCCATTGTGACCCTCAGAGAATGGAGTCCCGTTTGTGAGCCGCAGAAGGCACAGTGCTGTGTTTCTCCAAGGCAGGCCTTTGGCACTTGGGTGGAAGCAGTTCCATGTGCTACAGGACTTGTGTTGAATGACTTTTTCATGCACCCTGTCCCTGCCTGGAAAAACCTGGAGCTCCTCGGTTACCGTGACAACCCAAACTGCCGCTAGAGGAGTGTCACCAATGCTGGTGGAGAACTGATGAGCAACTGGGGGTAGTATGTGGTCATTTTGCCATGTAACTGAGTAACGGTGGAATAAATCAAGTTTTGGACTTGGCTGATATAAGCTTTTCAGGGTAAAGTGAGAATGTACTGCTTATGTAGTGTGCAAAGCTCATAATAGCTCAGAATCCTTCTCCTGCCTTACTTCAGTTCTTGGTGATGAGTGCTCAGTGCAGAATGTCAGTCTGTAGCCAAGGGCAGCTCCAGAGGACAGGCAGGGATATATCCATGAGCACGTGCTGTGGGAGTGTAGACTGGCTGTGCTGGCAGTGACACCTGGCACTGCTTATTTCCATTTTACGCCAGTTACTGAAGACACCAGCATGCGAACTCCAGGTGGTCTTAGGGCCCAAGCTCCTCAGCACCTGCATTCCCTACCACATGGCCTGCTGTGCTGCTGGCAGCAGGCAGAGCCTCTTCCGGGAGGTCCTGGGTTTGGGGTAACATTTTAGGCTTCAGCAACTTTCTTTTCCTGATAAGACTTTTCCTAAATATTCTTTTGGAAAATCAGCAACATAATTAAATTTGGTATCTTTTGCTTCTGGGTATGTTTCACAAAAAGTGCAATTTTTTTTTAGTGTAAAAAGCTCTTATAAATTCTAAGTCATTAATTAGGTAATGTCTCCTCAGTTTCTAATTTCTAAAAGTTTCCAAGTGGATTTCTGATTTGTAGGTTTTAAGCGAGAGCTTTAGAAGGACCCCACAGAGGAAATACTTGAATTTCTTGTGAGGGGGCCAGCGTGGCTCTGTTTCACGTTTACTTAAGTTGAATTACAGATGTGTGCAAAGTAATCAATACATGAAAAATATGTGAGAACAAAAAGTATACAGGGTTTTTTCCCCCCAGGAATACTGAGCCAACCAGAATACACAGAATAATAGTATCATGTACCAGGAGTCAAACTAAGTTTATGTGAAAAAGTATATTTTCTATACACATACTTTTCTCAGTTGTGAAGTCCAGCACTTTGAAGAGCACAAGTCAACACACCTTGGTGTGTGGGCAAATATTTTCTTGGGTAAATCAAGAGTGTGACTTAACCCTTCACCATCACATTCATGGTGATGCCTTCGAGACTAAGCATGCAGGCTCAAGTTTCTTATTAAAGAGAAAAGGCCAGTTTTACTTCTTACCAAAGTTGCTTGAACAGTAATTGCTTTCCAGGGTACCCGTCCATCTACATTTTTGTTGACACATGGCCACGGTAGGTTTTAAACCTTAATTCAAAGAAGAAAGTCATAAGATTCAGGAATATGAATTCAAGTATAATTGGTATTTCAATATGAATCTATCAATTTATAACTCCCACTTATTTCCCTGAGCCACCAAAATGTCATTGCAATGCACTACTTAAAGAGCATGCACAAGAAATTCTTCCTGCTACCCATGACTGCTCCGGTTTCCTTGGCTTAACTGAACAGCCTTTGCTGCGTTTGAAACCTGAGATAAAAGACAACCCATATTTAGCCCTATTCTCTTCTTCCTTTACATAAAACTAGCACTATACCCAAAACACATATAGTCTCCACCTGCCCTGCTCAGAAAAATCTAGTACAACAAATATGAACTCAGAAAATATAGGTTAACCCTCCACTTTACACAAGGAGTCCCATGGTGTTCCTCCTGAAGACGGAGGGAGCCTTCTTGGTGCATTTAAAATGGGCAATTGACTAAATGTGACCAGGAATGGTTAACACTGCTCATGTGTAGAGTGTGTTATACCTGTAATTAGCTGCAACCAGTTACTACACATTGATATTGAGACTGTCACTGCCTGTCTAGAAGTATTTTGGTTGTCACAGTGACGAGGGTGCCGGTAGCATGTAGGGGTAGGGCGCTGCTGGAGGTCTCACACTGGACAGTGCCCAGCAGCCACGAAGGAGATGGCCCCAGTGTTAACAGTAGACTGAGAAGCCACGAGGTAACAAAATGAAAGTATTTAACCGCACCATCATTAAAAATGCTTAAAAAAATATTTGCTAATTATTCACACAGATACAGCAATATTCTAGGAAGAATATTTTAAATAAAACAACTGTAACAAAATGATACTGGTTAGGTAAGAATTTGCAATCAGAATATTGCCCTTTTCATAGTTTCTGCCAACTCTTTTGTGAAGTTATTATTTATTTATCTACTCTTAATTTGTACCCCTGCTTAACTCCACAAGGGATCTGAGCTGAATTTCAATATTAAAATATATACAATTTAATGATAAACACATATAATATCATGGTTTAGGCACACACACACATTTCTTTGTGAGACAAAGAGCTCAGGAAACATGCAGGGGCATCCGACCTGTGGCCCTGGAGGCCACGTGTGGCCCAAGATGGCTATGAACGTGGCCCAACACAAAATCATAAACTTACTTAAAACCTTATTTTTTGCTCATTGGTTTTCATTAGTGTTTATGTATTTAATGTGTGGCCAGAGACAACTCTTCTTCTTCCAGTGTGGCCCAGAGACACCAAAAGTTTGGACACCCCTGTTGGAGGGAACAGTGTCCCAGAAGTTGGAGGCAAAATGGACCTAATTCACTGAATCAGAAAACAGTGGCGTCGGTAAGCACACAGATAGACCCTGACAGAGGCAGCAAGCAGTTTCATGGATCGACTCACTCCCCAATTTCCACAGCTCTTTTTCTAATTCTTTCTCATTCTCCCAACCCGAGGTTCTCCCACCTCCCTTCTCATTCTCAGCAGGTGAGCCTGCCTATTTCCTAGAGAGAGCAGAGATTGTAGAAGGAAATGTCCTCGGGCTCCCCACCAAACCTCCAAGTTGTCTTTATCTGTAGCCTCTGTCTTCCCTTCCTCCCCTGAGAGAGGAGGTTGCTCCACCTCTGGGCTAAGGTTTGTCCAGTCAGTCTTCTGGAGGCCACAACCTCCCACCTTTGTAGAAATTTCCTCCTCAGTTCATTCCCTCTGTCTGCCACTGTGTTTTCTTTTGCTGGCTACTTCCCATTAGCTTTAACTTACTGCAGACACTCAAAGCCTCTCTCCCTCCCTGAGGGCCAAACTTGTGGAATGAGTTGCCAGAACTCACTGTCTCCACGGTGAGGCCTGTCACCGTGTTCCACAGGCCTCAGCCCACTGTGTCTGGCTTCTGCCTGCACAGCCGCACTCACAAGTCTTGCTGGGTCTCCAGCAGCTGCCATGAAATAAATGGAAACATTTGAATCCTTCCCTCTCAAAGTCTGTCAACCCTTAGCTCTACTGACCACTTCCTTCTTAAAACACTCCCTTCCGTGGCCTCCGTGACCCAGGCTGCTGCTTCCTCCCTCCTCCCTAGCGTCTCCTTTCTAGTCTCCTGCACCACCATGTCCTTTCCCCTTTAATACGCTGGCATTCCTAGAGATTTAATCCAGCCCTTCTCCTTCTTTCACCCTAACCTTTCCCGAGGCCATCTCACTCCAGATCATGGTATCAACCATGCATGTGTGGATGGCTCTCAAATTCAGATAGCTAGCTTAAATCTCTATTCTGGTCTGGGGGCCCATAGATATAATTGTCCACAAGACATCTCCACTTGAGTATCTCACAGACACCTCAGATGCAACAAGCTTAACTTATGCATCTACCCCTAAACTCAGTTCTCAGCTCCAGGGAATGGTTATGTTATCCCCTGGGTTTTGCATGCCAGGGACCTGGGAGGCATTCTTGAAACCTCCCTGATCTCCCTAGTCGAATTCACCACCAAGCCCCGTCAGTATCTCCCAAGGTCCCTGGCATGCACAACAGTCAACGCCTCTTGACTGTCTCTGTCTTTCTGTCATAGCACAGTTCTTCTGGACAGCCACACAAACCTATTGATGCTCTTGACCCCTACAATCAATTCCCAGTGGCCCGAGTGATCTTCAGAGTGTAAATCTGATCCTGAACTTTGCTTAATCTATCACGTTTCCCCTATACTTAGAATAAAATCCAAAATACTTAGAGCACAAGGAGAGAGGTGGTAGGGACTAAAGGCGGATCTAGAAAGACACAATGGGGATGAAGTGTGAAGGTCTTACATACCCCATGAAAGGGTTGTGCTCTTATGCTGTCCAATTTGGTAGCCACTAGCCACATGAGGCTTTCTAAATTCCACTAAATTAAAAATTCCTCAGTACCACTGGCCACATTTGAAGTACTCATCAGTGGCTAATGCATTGGTGGGTACGGTTGTAGAGAAGGACTTGGTCGGCTCTGTGTGTGTGCGGTGCAGGGCGTGCAGTGGGGTGGGAACAGTTGAAGACAGCCTTCAGCGGGTGGCTCTGATGCTGTGGGCCAGCTCTGGGTAAATGGGCAGAGCAGCAGGTTCAAGGCAGAGAATAGTATGATAAAAACAAGTTGTGTTCAATGGGCTTTAATTTCAATGTCTAGCAGTTGCAAAACTCTAGGAGATAAATACAAATCCATGTTTGTGATTTCAGAGAGACTTTAGAACTTCAAAAATAAAAGCTGGGGAACCACCTAAGCACTGTGGGTGTGACCTGATAATTCACAGAAAAGGTTAAGGACACCTGAGTCCACTGAGATAAACAGGAGAAATACAGTTGTAACACGAGGCAGTACTCTTCCAGACCACAAGGGGGCACACTAAGAGAGTGCTCATAAACACAGCTCTTCCAGAAATGCCTGTACTCAGAGTAAACAGCCTTACTTTGAGCATACAGAAAATAGTGGGCCATAAAGTTGTTCTTATTTCAACCTGCTTCGTCCCTTAACCTTAGATCCTTACTTCTCACGTTTCTCTCCTCCTTACAGTTAGATTTTGACACCTGAAGTCTGAAATGCCAGTGCATGGAGCTGACAGATGTAGAGATGAGCCTCCCTAATTCGTAGAGCATATCCCAGACCAGACTTTCCCAACTGGCTTCTACATTTTTGTTTGACTTCCTCCAATTTGAAACAAATAACGTATTTTGCATGGCACATTTTGGAGCAAAGAAAAAAAAAGCCCCATCAAATACTGGCAAATGCGAATGCAGGCAGGTGTGCACGTCCTAGAACTTGAACCTAAACTACTGTAAATCTATGTAATAAAAAGAAAACCATAATTTTATGAGTGCCAGAAAAGAAAAATTAGTCTTATAATGATCTGTTACTAGGTTCCCTAGTAATTTTTAAGTGGTTATAATTTTCTTAGATGACATTTTGAAATTATTAACTTATTATTATTCTTATACCGTACACTTTTCTTTCATTATTGGAATCATATTATTCTCTTATGTACGTTTTCATTTATTTTAGTTTCAAATTTCTTCCTATTATTTGATATCTTGTACTTAAAAAGATTTTTAAAATATATTCCTTAAGTTTGTGAACAAACTTCAAAGCAAAAAAACTCACCTGTAGTCACAGTGAATGTGGTCGTGACTGGTGGTGCTGTACTTGTTGGTAATTTTTTTGGCCTGAATTTGTAGTGACCAATAAATCCATCTGCAGTTAAGCTTAAGTCTGAGAAAAACTGAATGAGAAGTTCATTTCTCTCAGACACAATTGGCCTAAAAGAACAAAAACATGTTTAAATAGATATATATTTTAAAGCATAAGTGGTACCTCTCTGAAATACAGACTATTCTAGGTTTCCATTAATTCCTGACAAATTACTACTTGCTTATATTTAAAAAGTAAAATATTTTAAAAAGTGAACACCTTACTCTGCTCAATATTAATGCTAATAGCTAACATTTACTGAGTATTTGCTAAGTTAGGCACTGTGCTTTATGAAAATGCATCAAATTCTATTTTCACCACAGCCCTATTATTATCCCCCTTTTATGGAATAGGCAACTGAAGTTCAGAGACTTCAAGGGATTTGCCTGAGGCCCTTGAGCAGGTGTGTAGGAGAGATGGGATGTGCACCCAGGGCCAGGTGGTAGACATGGGGCGATGTAAACATTGAACTGTGGCTGGTTCTCCACAAGCACCTCAGGATTTAGCCAGACAAGGGAACCACATGGCTTCTTTGAATGAGGACTCTGGGTCCTAGGTGGCCAGGGAGCAGGGGATGCTGGCTGTGGAGAATCAGATGGAGAAACTGAACGAGTTCCCAGACCCTGCGAAGACACAGCCAGAAGGCTGGCCACTGGGAGATAAGGAAGCCATGCAGGGTGTGACTGAACTTCTGGGTCATGTTCAGGGCACGTTCTTATGGGTGCCTGAAGTGGAAACATTTCTGTCTGTAGTCTTGGTAGTCAATGTTCTGAAGGTGAAAGAGGAAGTGATAGTTTTGTTTTGGTGGTCATGAATGACTTCATTAAAAAATTCAGTAAAGCTATTTAGGGGTTTGCTTGGTTAGCTGACACTAAAGATTTGATGGTGATAATAACCAAGGCTCAAAACCTCTTTTAAGTCTCAGGGGATAACTGTATCATACAAGACAATAGTTTCATTTAACCTTTGCTGTTATTATTTAAACAATGGCAAAAAATGTTGTTTGGCTAATTCTATTTAAAAACTAATGCAGAGGTGGAAACAATAAACAAATCATTTAATTGAATTAATTGATGGTTTGACTAAAGTCCTTTGTTGAGGCTCCTTCTCAGTCAAATCACTTTTTGGCATCATGGGCAGCAAACAACGAGGCAGCTCATTTTTCCCACCTATTAGCTACTTTGAGTGGGGACTGGTCAGGGGCACAGTAGATCTGTACTTGACCCAACCAGCAAGAAAACTTGCAAGATCTTTTTCTGCCCTGAGGGCTGTTACCTTCTGAGCCAAGGGATCCAGCAAACCCACGAGTGAGTTTCGTGATCTACATTAATGGGGTTCAGTTGGGGGTTCAACCCAGTTGGCCTTCTAGGCAGGATGTTATAATTATAGTGATCATTCACTGCCTTTTCTATGAACTAATCTTGGAAGCATATATTAGAAACTGAATTTTCTCAAGGAAGAGTATTTCAGCAACAGTTTTATTTTTGTTATTGCTACTGAGCTTTCCTATGAATGTGACAGAATCACGGTGCCATAAATGTACTGAGGTTACAAATCACTAGAAAGGCAAGAAGAAATTTCACTGGGACCAACTCTGCCCTGGCATACCCCAGGAGTAGATGCAGGAGGCTGTTTTGCTTTGATAGCCGCTGTACGGCTCTCTGCTTTGTCACCCCACAGTCTGCCTCTCCTTCAGTCACTAGTCAATCCACCACCACATCCTGCCAGTTCTGCCTCCTAAATACTCCTTGTTCTGCCTCCTGCTCTCCATCTCACCCACTCCTGCCTACCTCCTTGACTTCACCTGGACCCTGGCCACAGCCTCCTAACTGACTTCCTGCTCATCATGTCCAGGACAGGGGTCCAGAGGTACCAGTCCTGTCACTTCCTGCCTAAATGCACTTCAAGGGCTCCAATGGCTGCAGTACAGGGAGCCAAACGGAACCCTCCTACCTCCTCTCCTTTCCCCTCTCTCTCTCTCCCTCTCTCTCTCTCTCTCTCTCTCTCTCTCTCTCTCTCTCTCTCTCTCTCTCTCGCTCTCCCTCTCTCTCTCTCTCTCTCTCTCTCTCTCTCAGCCCCACTTCAAGGTTTAGGCTCCAGAAGAGCACGTATCTCTCCTGTGGGTCTGTGCTAACAGAACTCCCTTAGCCCGGAATGAGTCTGTCCTTCCTCCAGCCTCCAACTCCAGATCTTCCTTCAAGAAGCACCATCTCCTTGAAAAAACTGCCCCTGACCTCCCTACCACTTGTCAGAAATTCACCCAGGACATTCCTTTGCCAAGTTATCGGCCTGTCTACTTTGATTCACTTCCTACCCTCACTGATTTATCTTTGTGTCCCAGGTACCTGACATAGTGCCACACACGCAAGGGTGAAGTATATGTTTTCCAACTGAATTCAATGGTATTGAGACAGCACTGAACCCACACACTTCTCCTTCCAGCCCCACCCCCAACTCCAACTGTCCTCGTCCTAGTCATGCTTTTCACAGGGGAAACCTCTCCAGACAGGTTTGCATATTTCTTGCACTGCCCCACCCTAGAGTACTCTGCTGTGGGAAACTCTTCAGGTCAAAGCATTAGTCGCTGGCAGGCAGTCAAGCTACTGCAGACAAAGTCCTCAGAGGTGAGTGGTGCTCAGCAGCCCCTCCATTGCCCCCACCCAGCCCCCTGCCTGGAGGCAACCACTGCCCTGAGTTTTGTATTTGTCCTTTTTTTTCCTTTTATCTGTAGAGTTACAAATATGTATGTATTACTAAACAATATAGTATATAGTGAGCATGCTCCTAAACTTCATATAAATGAAAGGCTATGGTGTATATTTTTCTGCAGTTTTTTTCACTCTCAACATTATAATTGTGAAAGTCATCCAGTTTTTGCTGCTGCGGTATGCTGTAGCACAATTTAACTATTCACTTGTTGATTGACATTTGGCTGTGTGGTCCCCACCCCCACCCTGCCAATTACAAGCAATATTGCCTAGAACATCCGTGTACATGTCTGGGGTGCACATGGACAAAGGTATGATTAGTGGGCACCCTGGGAGGGGAGGGTATATGCTCTACCCCAAGATCACAGGATAGATGCTCATTTTCAACTTTATTAGATAACATGAAACTGATTTCCAAAGTGGTTGTGCCAAAGATTGCTCACTGTGTACCTTTCTTCTCTGGGGAATGCCTTTTGCCCACTTTTTCTACTTAGTTGTGCCATATTTCTAATTAATTTTTATGATTTCTTTTTAAAAATACTTTATTTATTTATTTTTAGAGAGAAGGGAAGGGAAGGAAAAAGAGAGGGAGAGAAACATCAATGTGTGGTTGCTAGTTGCACACCCCCTACTGGAGGCCCAGTCCTCAACCCAGGCATGTGCTCTGACTGGGAATCGAACCAGTGACCATTCACTTTGCAGTACAATGCTCAACCAACTGGGCCACTCCAGTGAGGGCTAGGATTTCTTGATATACTCATATTCTGAAACCTAAGTCTTTGTCAAATACAAATATGCTTCCATTTTGTGCCTTCTCTTTAAGGTGTATTTTGATGAGCAGTTTTTGTTGAAGTTTCTCATTTAAGACTCTAATCCCTCTGTAATTAATTTTTGTGTGCTATTAGATATGAACACATTCATTTTCCCATGTGACCAAGAGTTGCCACTGCCTTATTTTGCAGTAGGGTCACCCTGCCCCAGCAGGCCTGTGGGTCTCTGTGCAGTGCCCCATGTGCAGACACGTGTGGAATGTTTCTGGCCGTGCCTCTGGTGAAACCACACTGTCTTTGTTACAGTAGCTTTCTGATACAGCTCCATCATGGCAAAAAAATCCTTCTGTTGGGTCCTTCTTCAAAGCTGTCTTAGTGTCACCCTCCCACTGTCTGGCAATTCCACACACATTTTAGAGTCAGACTGTCAGCTTTAATGAAACCCAATTCCAACATTTTTAATGGTTTTGATTCTCCCTATTCATGAGAATAGTATGTAAATCCATTATTTAGGTCTTTAAGGTTTTATAATTTTATCTCTTAAGGCCTTGCACACAATTTGTTAAATTTATTCTTGAGTGTTTCATATTTTTGTTGCTATTAAAATATCTTTTTAAAAATAAAAGCTTATAAATTTATGCTATTTAAGACAAGATATTCTTGAATAAATGTTTTCAACACATAAAAACATAAATCTGCAAGTCACGCTTTAACCTGGTAGTGTATGAAATAGATTTTCTGAATTATCAAGCCAATCTTGAATTCCTGGTCAAAGAGTATTTTTCACACATTGTTAGATTTGGCTTGCTAATATTTTTTCTTTTAGAATTTATTTTTCATCACATTCATAAGTGAGATTAGTCTTCCACATTCTTTTCTGGTACTGCGTTAACTTGCTTTGGCGTCAGTTTACGTGGGCACCATGAAAACAGGCGGGGAACAAGCCCCATTCTTCCCTGAAAGAGTCTGCACAGTGCTAACGTGGCCCTCTCCTCAGATGGCCGTTAGGGCCCGTGGAGAAGCGCAGTCTGGGCCTTCCACCCCCCCCCCCGCCCCCGCCCCGGCCTTCATAACTTTTAACTGTGGGTCATAGTTCTTTAATAATTATTTGGCAATTCTGGATTATTGTTTTTTTTTCTGTGTTTTTAAAAAGTGATTATTGTATTTTATTTGAGATGTAAGTTAACCTTTACCGTTAAGTATAGCATCAAAATTTGGGGGCCAAAGAAGGCTGGATATGCATCCTATTTGTACTGCTCTTATTTTTTTTTAATTATTTATTGAATTTATTGGGGTGACATAAGTTTAATAACTTACATGGTTAATAATTACATATAAGTTTCAGGTGTACAATTCTATAATATACTATCTGTATATTGTATTGTGTGTTCACTGCCCCAAGTTGTGTCCATTTTTGGTTGAAAAAAAAGTATTTTCTTCCGTTTTTGGATGCAGTGTTCTCTATTCATTAGAACAAGCCTATTAAGTGTATCTTAAATCTTCTGTATCCTAATCTTCCCTCTTTCTATAATTCATAGTTTATGTCAATTATTGAAAAAGATGTGTTTAAAATCTCCTATAGGCCCTGGC